TGCTCTAAAATACAGCTACTTTATGTTATGAAATCTTTCCAACCAATAGCTTCAGTATCATTGGATATGATTGTGTATTTGATCATTAAAACCAAGATACACTGAAAGCAATGTATTTATCTTATAATTCAAGTTCGATAAAGGCCTCTGTGGAAGAATTCTCATTTTGCTGATGTGATTTACACCCTTTACAATATGTTTTCACGTTCACATTGATTGAAAGTACATTGTTTGGACTAAAACTGGCAAAAACACAGCACTTATAAAGGCATGTGTGAGTGCTTTGTGTGATGAACACATAGCAAACACAGCCGCTTCAGATGCCCTCCTAAGCACGGCTCCAACCCACGATGTAAACTATAGATCTCCATAAATGCGAGATGTTTACTCTTTCCATTTAAGCTGCGTGTCAAAGTTGCTCCACTGTCTCAGGCTGCTACAAACCCTGCAGATGCTGATGCTTCTATCACAACCGCTTCAGATGCGCGTCTACCGGCTCAACCTCAAAAACGTGCAACGCGGGCGAGATTAGAAGTGACAGACATTCATAAAATTTGTGTCATTGAAAGTGTCACACGTTACCCTAACCTTACACTTTTGTACGGCGTAGCTGGCGCTGCTTGTATGTCACAACTGAAACTCTTGTTAACAGATTAATGTGACAGATTAGTACAGCTACCCTGCTCTTTAATCCAGTAATCCTGCATCAAAGGGTCATGAAGAACCTTTTTTTTCTGCTGTAGTGAAAAGGGGGAGATGAAAGGAGGGGAAGAATGAAGGAGGGATAGGGAAGGATGGTCATGGAAACACATGCATGCACATAACACGCGCATAAATGCTTTAAAAAACAGTGCACACAAACCACACTCTCTAAGAACTAAGCAAGGAAAAAAAAAAAAAAAAAAAACTTCCTTAAATGTTGCCATTTCTCATCCTTCACTGCTTAGCCTCTTTTTTTTGACACAGGCACACGATTTAAGACACACAGTCTCTTTGTGTACATGTCTCCTGCCTCCTAAGGCTGTTTTGAGCCCTATTTCATGCTGACAGGCATTATAGAAACATATGCTAACAGGGCTAATTCCCCAAGGCAGCATCACATTTTATGACGCCAGAGGCAGAAGGTTGATCTGGCTGGATGGCTGGTGTATGTGCAAAGGCACACATGAACACACAGACACACAGACACACACAAACATGCTCGCATATTCAGCAATCTTCATTTCCTTCACATTCAACTTGTAAATAATACCAAGAATGTTTCCATTTAGATTTTTTGAAATTAGTTTTTTTTTTTTTTTATTCTGAAAAACACTTCAACTTCAAACTTTCTTGACTTCAAATCAAAGTCCTTTCAAGGAGAAGAATGGAAACAGACATAATGTGGCTCTGTAATGTATGATAAATTGAATTGGCTCCTGCTACAATACATTCAAAGATGGGGCCTAGTGCATGAAAAGGACTATTCAGAACATGAGGTTTGGCATAAAGTGGTTGCCCTTGATGTTTCAATGCTAAAATTTACACTTACTGCTTTTAGATTGTTTGAGGGAGTCGGGATTTTTTTGTGTGTCACTGGGTTTGAGGCTGAGTGCGAGGAAGCTTAAAAAAAAAAAAAAAAAAAATTCCCATTGCATCAAAGAGCATGAACCGAATGAACCTGTAAATCATATACTAATAATGTGGTTCTTGGTTGATTGTTCACCATTATCTAAAGGAGGACAATTTGCTTATATTGACGGATAATGCTCGTGTTCAGGTTAGACCTGAAAAGGGAAGGCGTCATTTTGCAAATTGAAAAGCCAACAATAGTGTGCCCCCTCATTAACGCATGCACAGAGGCATGTACAACCCATGCGAGGGTCCAGATAATCAGCAGACACACTTCCCTGTCTGTCAGCTTCCCTCTCTCACTGCCTTTCCCCTCTCTCCACTCGCCCATACCTTTCTGTCTGTCCATCCTTCTTGAAGTGCAAGGCTCTTTTGTTGATTTTCAGAGCAGCAATTTGGCCCCAGCGAGGGGGCACAGACAAGTAAAATTCTGCTTTGATGACTCTAAATGGAGAGATTATCCAAATGAAAAGCAATTATCCAAACCCCACCCATCCCTCTACCCTTCAATATCTCTCTGTGCCTTTCTTTACACCCAGCGCTCTCGCTTCAACATCTCAGCCCATTCATCGTATTCACTATTTGATTCCACCTGTGCTCTCTTTTTTTTTTTACCTCTTTTCTGCTTCCTCATAATGTTCTCCTCCCTTCATCATCTCAACCTTTTATTCCCTCTTCTTTAACCTTCTCTTTTATCATCCCTCCCTGTCCTTTTCCTCCTATCCTTTATTCTTCTCCCTTTTCCCATTCCGTCTGCTCTCTTCACTTCTTCTCTCCTCTGCACCATTAAACTGAACCGATCACAAAGGCCCTCTAATAAAATGAACACTGATAAACATCCTATTTCTATTTTGAGGTTAGCAACGACTGCTAATTGGTTACAAACTGAACATGAATGGGTTTTTGAGAGAGGAAGCTAACCTGGACCAACAATTTACCCAATTTAAAAGAGCTGCTTTAAAGTAGAACTCTGTTGGCTGGAGCGTACGACGGGCAATGTGTCTTGTTGGTTAAGTCTTTTAAGCCAAATGTCTTTGTTATAGTGAGTTCAAATTCATTCCATGACCTTTGCTGCATGACTTGCCTCACTGCCTCCCCCTTGTCTTTGCTGCCACTCACCACCGTGTTCACTCTAATGAAGCAGAAAAGTCAGAAGCTTTACAATACAACACCCAGAAACCGCTGGAGTCATCCTCAGTCCGGCTCCGCAGCAGCTGATAGACAGTGAATAATGGGGACTGGCGTACCGACACACACACACGCATAGACACACACGCACGCAAGCACACAAACTAACCTCGCTGTCACAACAGTCGGCACAGAACAGAGGGCGAATCTCAAGTTACGGGGTCGCTCGGTCTCATTTGTCTTTTTTTTCTTTCTACTCTCTCTCATCTCTCTCTCTCTGTGCATCTCTCGAGCCCCCATCCCACCCAACCCCACCCCACCCGGTCCCTCTCTCACAAATACATTTACAATGACATGACACCTTTATAATAATCTTTTGTTTTCCCTCCAATGTTCCAGCACACCAGAGATCTAAAGTGTGGGTTTCATGCTGTGTTCTTTCCACCGCCTCTGCCAGTCAGCCAAACTTTTTGGCTGTGTTCCCTTTGGCAGCAGAACGGGATGTGTTTACCTCAGACCCAGCCAGGGCAGGATTTCCCCACGGGGGAAAATAACACCAAAAACACCTCTGCTCTGCTGTGAATCACTAAACAGAGGTGATACGAACACTTTGTTCCTACTGAGAAGCTAAACTGGACAAACAAAGAACACAACACTAAACTTATTTAGTAATTTGTTTGTGGTAACGTTTGTGGCCAATGAGCGCCTATGGTTTCAGCTTTGGAGAAGCCAAATGGACAAATAATATTTTCGCGTTGATTTTCTTTGGAGGAGGCAATGAACAAAAAGAGCCTAAGGGAAACTTCAACCTGCTGTATCTTACACAAAGTGTGTTCAATACCATGGACAGACACAGACTGAAACTGCCGTTCAGAGACTGCATTACCACTACTCCACTACGCCTCGCAACGGATGAGCAAAATATTGTTTCTTGCAAGCATGATAGCATTTAACAAAGGGCTTTATAGGTCAAAGAGTGGAGGGTGCATGAGAATGCGATATGCTCTCTGAGCCATTCAAACGATCTTGTCTAACGCCTGATCTTGTTTTCCGAGCTGTCTGTCTGTTAATTTAATCTTTGGTCAATGTCACCCAAGGGGACCAATAACGCAACATGGTTTGCTCTGCCTATAATATGACATGCCACACAAGCTGATGTACAGAGGATTTTGAGGGTGACATTAGCGATTTCAAATGCACACGCAGAGACACACGCGTGCGCACACACACACACACACACACACACACACACACACACACACACACACACACCCACACACACACAAACACACACATTCCTTATTCCCATCTCTTTTGATGCAAAATGCCAGCTCCCCTGAACCACAGACACAATTCTCCACGCTCCTTTGGGCTTCTGCTGTCAACTCTCCTGCCAGAGGAGAGAACAGGCCACATCTATCACCAGCCACAAGATGACGTAATGTGGTTCATACCGCAGTAGGAGTTACAAAAGGGTCAGCAGCAGTCTGGAGAAAATCTAAATATCTCTTTCCTGTAAAAATTGTTGTTGACACAATTAGAAAAAAAAATGCTCTAATTTCTCGCTCCCTTTGTTATTGTATTGAATGCATATGCTATTCATGGAAAAAAAATTAAAAATCTGTTAGTCTCCCGGAGCAACAACACATCATGAAGGTGGGAGGATTGCCAGTTGCCAAAGAGCACAAAAGTAAAGGTGGTAGAGAGTTTCTTCATAGAGCATCAGCCCGGAAGATGACATAATGTGTTTCTTGTAATAACGGTTAATGTCATCATACTAGACCTACTTTCAATATTCTTGTGTTTTTTGTTTTTTTTTTACAGAGCAACAGTGCCACTATGTGGCCATTTTAGAATGCAGCAGGTTACATAAGATTTTTAAGACCATGCATTACATCATATGTCTCTATATCTTACATTAATCCTAACTGTAGGCTGTACAGCCCTGTTTGTGCCACATGTTGTGGTAATCATTTATGGGAGAAGACGATTCAGACATAGGAACATTAAAAGGCTGGGTAGCAGTCGCTATATATCAGTGTCACATTGTCGTGTATTAGAGAGAATATTTATGTATGTATACACCCACCTGGATGTTCAGTTTATCATGGATTTATGCACACACACACACACACACACACGCTCTTTACCTAAAATGTCATCCCATTACATCACATCTTTTTGTCAGGTGACTGCAAGGAGCTGTAAGAAGTCATTTTTAAGACTATTATTATGTATCTTACATATGGTTCTATTTGCTCCTATGTGTTACCATTGTCAGAGGTGCCGAGGGTCATTCTTTGTCCACTCCTCTTCTTCCTCAGGGTCATGAGTCTGGCCTGAGAGATCTCTCTGACGATGGAGGACAGGTGGTCTTTGTTGTGTCCGTTGTTTCCTGGAGGAGAGGTCTTGGAGTCTAGATCTCCACTGCCCTGAACCGTGGACTTAGTCTGGGGGAAGTGGAAGTTGATGAGAAACAGTCAGTTGATGAGAACCGTGCGAAAACCATGAGCAATTGTAAAAGTATATACGGTTTGAAAATAATAAGAGAGCTGACACTTTCTCTTATACTTTATTGGAAGTTTATGGCCAGGCATTTTGACATGAGTGAGCACTTTGTTATTTAAACTGGCTAGGGCTGGGGAAGTGATAATAACTAAGTATTCAAACAACAGGATTTGTTTAACTCAGCATACAGTGACAAGGTGGAAGTGCTGGGATGTTCGAGTGTATTTTCCTTTGGTATAGACCGGGCAGATCTAGAAATGTATCAAGTATTTGAGTACTTCAAGTGTTTCCAGTAGTGGGTGCTGCGCACCTTGAGTGCAGGTCACACTAATGTGATATGCTGGTATCAAGTGGAAGTAAAACAATATGCCTCATTATCCTCCTAAATATTAAGCAGTACGTTACTTGAAGCTGATAAATTATGAAATCAATTACTGTTTTTTACTTAACTCACTGTGATGATTGTGTTGAAGCTACGTGTGTGTGTTTTTTTTAACAGTAAAACAAAACTCTAACAACTCATGTATATGTTGCGTCATGACAGTAGCAGGAGAAAGCAACAAAAAAAGTATTTAAATCAAAAGCAAAACAATTATTAACACTAAGGGGCGCTAACAGCTGTGTATCTCTGACGTCTGCAGGTAGCTGGAAATCAGAGTCTGCGGTCTGACTGTGGTACATGAGCAATCTTGTGAGCCCCGAAGTTTCCAAGCTTCCTGTCTCTTTGGTATTCCTCTGCGTATGTGCTGCAGTTGAGGGCAGCGAGGAGTCGAGTCAAGGTTGTAGAGTTTGTATGTGTTTGTACACTGAGCAGTCTCAGCAGTGGGCGCACTATGCTAAGTCCTGGGGGGAGAACATGTCTGCCAGTCACCACCTGCACTGTTTAAAGCTGAACTTTGTCACACAGTTGTTAGGTGAGTTTGTACCACTAGTGGGGATTGTAATGCTTTAATTATACGGCTGACAGTTAGTTTGGAAACATATAAAAGGCGAGTAGGCAGGAGGCAGGAGAAGAGGAGCGAGAGTTATTGTCACTGTTGGACTGGGCACATGGCTATTTCCTGGAGTCAGAATGTGTAAACAGTGTAAACTTGATTTGCAGCGAACTGAAAAAACAAAATACCGGTAGAAAATACTTGGTTGTTCATTTTGTGCCAGCACGGTAAGGTAGACCTACCTACTTCTCCTAATGTAAAGTCTTCTTCCACTTCTTTGGCAAAGGTAGTAAAAACATAACATTAGAACCAGAGTTGAGTTAAACAAAGTGAACGTTGCCACATGTCAGTGATTGATGAAGCAAAACTGTTTGTTTTGCCTGTACAAATGAATTTGTCTCCACTTTAGAGTCATTTGGACGTTAATGGGCTGCTGAGGCCTGTGCTCCAAAATGTAATGTTTCATTTCGCAAAAACGGTGTGAGCACAAATTTTTATTTTGCCTGCACAAATGTGCACAAATAAATACAAATGGTTTTATTGATACCCTCTTCCTATGGGATGCCAACTTCAAAGAGGTACAAACTCACAGTAGACAATGTGCAATTTTGTCCTGTACACATCTTAGTGAAATTACATCTGAATTTTTAGATGAGTGACAGACTGGCTCATTAAGTTTATAATACAATTTTCTGTGTTGAGGCATTCTTCGATATTTATTACTACAGCTGTCTGGGCCCCCACAGTCCTTCAAAGCTGCTGGTAAAGTAACACACACATAACAAGGTGAATATTATCTATCTATAATGATTCTCAGGTTGTTTTAAGCTGTTCCTCCAACAATGCATGTAAAAAAAAAAAAAGGTCTGGCATTGTGCGTTGTGTAGATGTGCACAAAGCTGCACCGCTGCTGAAAAATCCTGGTGGAAACACTGTTCTCAGCTCCACTTTAAGGGTTTGTAAAATATTAAATTTAATAATCTAAATAATTCATGCAAAAGGCATGTAATTCTTACATTTCCATTTTGCTTGGAGAATCTGTAGATGGGTGGAAGAGAGTAAGCTTTCATTCTGTAGACAAAACAGACAAAAAGATGTCACTCACATGAATACATGATATGTGTTAAGTGTCTGCCCTACAACACTGATCCATGAACACATGCGGCTGAAATTAACCATGAATTGCTTAATATTTGATAATGAGTGCAGATACTGAACCCAGTCCAAACTAAGTTAGTGGGGTAAGTTGCCCCCAGTGGCCCCTCATATTTGCAAATTTTGCAATGGCATCTCTAAGCCCCCTTAAACCTCCCATAAAGACACTATACAGTGCACTGCTGTTGCCCCAAACCCCCCTAAGTGGGGCCCCTGATGATGTGTGCTGTAGCTAAATGAACCAAACAATAAAATGACAATAAAAACATAAAATGATGCCTCCCTGTATCATTCAAAGACATTCTGACATTAAGTTAAAGCTGTAAATCACTTTGCAATTTCTATCAAGATGTCAGCGTCTTCAGACGTGTTACAACAGTATATCTTCTGTAGTGCGGTGCTTACCCATTGACCCTCCTTGTCCCTCTTGGTTTGGTGAAGAGTAGGTCACTGTAGGACAGCTTCTTAAACTTTTCTCTTCCCACAGCCACATACAGCTGACCGCTCTCCAGCTGAGTCCCGGCAGTCAGCTGGTGGCCTTCGTCGGTGTAGAGACTAGAGCACACAAAGAGAGCCAAAAGCCCCACGGTTTCCATCATGTGTTTATACCAGTTACGAGCATATTATTGTGTCTATGTGTGTGTGTGTGTGTATCACATTCAACAAGTAATTTTTTGTTTTCATTTATACACAAGTTTATGCATCAAGGTACGAGAAAACCTAATGAGATCATCTGCTGGAATGGAAGAAGATGTGTTGCAAAGCTGAAACTTCTGCCATGTACTGCTCTTGATTTATTTTGTACAACAGACATTAAATCTTCATGTCGGGGGGCACAGTGCACATGTCGAGTGTGTGCACTTCTTTAGGTGGTACCTTCGAACACCTCCCAGGACTCTCAAACCCATCTTCTCTGTGATCATCTCTAGTATCTTGTCAAACTGGCCCAGCATCCTCTGGTGGATCAGCAGCCTCATCGCGGGGTTTAAGACATCGCCATTTGCTACCACGCTAAGTGAAGAAAACACTTATGATGGTTGGCAGTTACACTATTGTATACAGAAAACACAGCGTATATAAGCGAATCTAAAAACTCTGTAGGCAAAATTAAAAGGTCAGGATTGTGGTAAAATGGTTAGTGTGAAATATGGGAACCTGAACTTACAATATCGTACATGGCTCCTTGATGGGTTTCAGGAACCGAGCTGACACAATGATTCGATTCTGTGGCAGCGGTTTGGCCTGAAAAAGAAGGATAAGAAAGATAAATAAATACGTCATGAACCTATGGACGCTTATAAAGTTTGTTAGCAGATCAGTATGCCCTGCTGGGATTTAAGGACAGCTCTTGTTTCCCAGTGGAGGCTCAGAAAAACAGACCTGTGCGAACGTTTAGGGACTTTTGCTTTAGGGACTGATGCTAACACTGGAGTCAATATTGATATTCCAGTTGGTAAGGACAACATTTAAGCTCATTTCAGCTCCTAAATATAGCTGCCCATGACAAGGCAGTCAACAGGGCTGATACTGTACATCCTTTAGAGGTAGAGGTGCTTGAACAATCGGAGGGGCAAAGGTTGGCAGCAGTTTGATGTGGCGTTATTTCTTTATTGTAAAAAATATGTATATTCTTCTTGAAATCCATCCGCTCTTTTTTGGGGTATTTTTTTTTCTGTCCTTTTGCTGCAAAAAGTGTCAGTTAACAGTACAAGAAAACAGTCTTGTTTGACATCAAAAGCTTTTACCCCTAAAGCCAAAGAGAAAGAGCTATTGTAATCGCTGAAAGAATCTGTCTCTCATCTCTGTGACAGCGAAAGCCTGATCTCTCTGAGATCCTTTGAGGTTGTGAGGTTGCAAAGACTGAGCTCTGCAGGTCCTCTCCCATAACACCTGGTAACCCACTGTGACTCCAAGACTGAGATTTGGATCCTATGAGAGAAAGAGATAAGGGAGGAGGCATGTTAAAAGTCCTCTGAGGGCTCTGTGAGAGCGCCCTGGTAACAGAGGTGTGAAGGTCAGAAGTAGAATTTAAAAAATAAAAAAGCTTAAAAAACACAAGGTGTTGGACATATTCAGAGGTACGCCAGTGACCGTGCATAAGGCCAGGCTCTTGTGATAGAGCTTAAGCCCCATGTCTCCGGCTTTAAACTGCACAAATAACACAGATCAGAAAACATTCAAATGCATTTTAATTCACATATTTGCTAAAATAATCAAAACCCGAAAACACTGCCAGTTAAAAAAAAATAGAACTGCACTTCCATTTTAACCTTTTACCTTTAATGTAAGCTCCAAAGCACGAAGAGTAGCGTAAACCACACAGCTGGTAACCAGGAACAAACAGAAACAAGCAGGGGCAAGGCATGAATCAGTCCCCTGGGAGCTATTATAAGTACCGGGTTTGTTTTTCTATCGGCGGTGATTATTTTTTATTTTTTATTTTTTATTTTTTTATCAACACGTGATCTTTTATCATAAAGTGGGAAAAAGCCCACTCAGCTCCCATTTGGCAAACAACACCACTAATGCTGAGCATACACAGCTTTAATAAGTCAAATCAAACCTATAGCACCGTTATCAGGAAACCAAGACCAAGGGAACACCTTTCACTTTTAATACATCTCACTCGATTCCATCGACAGAGTGCAGCCGGTAGATTCAGCAAAGTTAATGAATCTACCGGCTTTATTTCTGATGTAAGGATTTTGCGTATAACAAGGTTCTGCAGTTTGCCTGCTGGTGGAAATCACTATGACCAATTTTCAGCTCACTTAAATACTCAACTGGTGCACTTACATCTGTTTACGAAAAGCAGAAGGTCTGAGCACTGCTTGAAGTGGGTCCTCGAAAGCAAATCCAATCAAACACAGAGTGACAAAAACACTAATTTCAAGGTGGAAAGGGAAATGTAATAACAAGAGTAGGGTCTATTGTGATATATTGAAGGTGCATCCCGCGGAGCTACGGTCAAAACGAGTCACACACAGATTGGTTCATTGAAGGTAGTGACCTTCCAGCTTCATTAGTTCAACCCAAAATCAATACGAACAAAAAAAAACAAAAAAAAACAAAAACAAAAAACAAAAAAAAACTTGCCAAGCATCCAGACCGCTAAGAGTTCTCTTCATTATCGACACAATCAGCCAGGTTAAGTGGGGCAGGCCAGGAGGAAGCAGGGTCCTTGTAAACTAAAGGGGTTCTTTTTATGCTCGCCAATCACGGCAGCAACAGCAAGTCCTCGAGGTCTCTGTGATGAAAAAAAGCTTCTTGCTGGTAGGTGATAAGACAAAATCAAGAGCACAGAGAGAAATTCCTGATTCTCTTTTGAATGATTAACATGTTACAGTGGAGAGAGAGAGAGAGAGAGAGAGAGAGAGAGAGAGAGAGAGAGGTGGGATGCACATACAGCAAATGATTCGGAGGCTCTGACCTCAAGGCCGGACATGAAAGTACAGGGTATCCTGACAAAGACTTTTGACCCCTTGTTCTCTTTGGCTAAAGTTAGTATGTCAAAATTTTCCACCGATTTGTTTTTGCCATACTGTCCCCATGAGAGAGCAGAGTTAATAAGGTTTGGTATATTAAGTGTATTACACTTCCAGAGAATAAACTTTATCATTAAAAAAAAAACTCAACTCTCATTTGGAAAGAGGACCTCGCAGTTGACTTTGAAAAGAGATGAACCTGACTTTAAGCCGCTCTTGTTTTGGCTGTGACTTCATAGCTAGTGATTAAAGATGCATTGATCGGAGGGATGATTATGAACCATAAGTTAATAATTCATGGCCACTGAGACAACAACAAAGTGATTCTTCACAGAGAACAATGGGGAGGAATGCTGAACATTACACCTTGCTTAAATGATCTTTCTAAAACCTTTACACTGTGGGTGGGGGCAAGAGCGCAGAGGTGATCTTCCCAAATCCTCATGTATCTTGCATTTAGTGGCAGTTTCAAATGTTGAAGAGTTGGATTGAGTAAGGATATTGTAACTGAAACCCTGCCACGAAAACATAGCCGCTGAAGTGTTTCATTAATCTCCAAAACTAAATTTAAACTAAATGCAATAAAATAAACACAGTTAAAACAATGTGTCTGTGATGAAGGTATACATTGTCATGCGGTTGCTGAACCGTCACAGAGCTTATACGACTAGAAATTAAGAAATATGAAATTGAGGAATATGTTCCAATGTGTGTTTTTCAACTAAAGGATCTAGTGCAGATAAAGATCCACCGCACTCCAGGACTATCTGGATGACTGACAAGACTATGTAAATTATGTAAACAGGTTCCATCTCTGCCGATTGTGTTCAAATGATGCCAAAGATCAGAACGATTGGGAATTGCAGGCACAGCTATGGCTGCTGCGTACTCGCCCTTCTTGCACAACACAGCCTCAGAATATCTTGAGCCCAGGCATTTTGTGGCATTCAACAGGAACTTACCTTTTCCCAACTGACTTCATAACAGGAAGAAATTTCAGAAAAACTGAAAGAAGGCAGGACTTTTCTCCTTACCTGCATTGGAAGAGTCTGCAGCATCCTCCTCTTTCTAGAGCCAATCTGTTGGTAACTGCAGATAAATGATAAAGTGAAGTTGAGTTAATCATTCACAGCACACTGATAAAAATGATTCATGCTCTCATCAGCTAAAGCAGAATATTTATTGTGTAGTTCTTTGTTTTAAACATATTTATTGGAATTAAATGTGAACAGTTTTGGTGAATATAATATTCATGTATTTATCATCTGTTGCATTCAAACACATTTTTCACAGGGGTACAGTCGGACGATGAAAACGGAAGTACATCATATATTCAGGATGTACAGGTACAGTACAGTAACCTGTATCTTTCCCCTGGGCCTGTCTATTTAAAACAAAACACTTATGTCAAAGAACATGATAAAAGTAAACAAACTTCATGTCTCCAGAATACCTCCCCACTGTATTCTATGAATAACTGACTGCACAAATCTCATTACCTGCCGTATCTGTAAGCCCACCTTTTTTTAGGCCAGGGCAGAGCACACTTCTCTACAGTGCTGAGCTCATCTGCCTCATGCTGTGACTCTGTCCACTCACATAAATTTGAAGACCATGACTCCTCAACAGGTCTGACTGTAAGTGACTCATTTTATATAGGCCTGTTGTATGAAGGCCTAGACGGTGGCTGATTGACAACATTGACTGTGGAACGAAGTTAGAGTGTGCAATATATTTCAGCTGAGATTTTAATTAGGCTACTTACAATTAACAGTAATTACAACTGACCGACATGCTCTCCTGCAGGCTAGAATAACCCACACCTGTCTTAAAACTGAACAGGCAGGTGTGTCATGGAGCAGTATTTACGCATTGATGCATTATTGTTAAGTTTTTGAGAAAACCCATTTGAAAGTAGTTACTGTAGTTATGTCTTACTCCAGCTTTTTGAATCTCTCCCTCCCAGCAGCGACGTACTGCTCCCCGCTATGCAGGCTCTCCATACAGTCCACCTTGTGGCCTCCTCTCGGTGTGTAGATGTTTCTCACCGCTCCAAACGGGGCTTTTATCCCACCGGTCACCTCTCTCAGCAAAGTCTCAAAGTTGGACACCCTCTTGTGGTTGATCACTATCCGACGAGCCTCATAGTACGGATCGCCGTTCCGGAACATGAAAATGTTCTTCACGACCGGCTGTGACAGAAAGTTTGGCTTCTCCGAGCTCATCCTTGTGCGTAATCGACAGGCTGGCGCGCGACGGAGAGAGGTCTTTGTTATAATAATCTCACAACAGGTTGATCCCAACTGCAAGACAAAAGCTTATTGGCCATTATAATGACATCAGAGCTGGCCCATCCCGGCCAAATGTTTCAGGGGTTGAGTGGTGCTGAACGCGGCGCGCAGATCTTCAAGGAGGTCGGCGTTTTGGATAGAAAAGCGTCCGGGACCAGGTGCTACTCACGGATTAAAGAGGAGGTAAATGGACCCACGTGCATGTAACTGCTGTTGTGATCCAGCGTTAAAACTGTCAACTATCCACAAGTTTTGCAGAATCTCAACCCGCGTGCAAAGGAAAACGGTGCGGAGTTGTACGCTTCGTGTGCGCGCGATACGCAGCAGGTGATGGTGAAAGCCAAATGGGTCTGTGTAGTTTCCCCCCACGATGTAAGGCTGAGCATCATGGGAGCTCATCTGTTGGGATGTATCTATGGGAACACGCCGCTGTTCTCTCACCGATTACCAGGGACCTCACACAGTCGTAATCAGCATGTTGTCAATCATTAACCGATGAGGGGAAAACAGACTTATTTGATTAAATGCAGATTATCACTGTGCGGGAAACATACGCAAAAATGAACGACGACCTTTGTGAGAGGAGACAAGACAGTAAACATGAAACACTTAAAAGGTGTAAAACTCTCCAACGCTCATGTGAGAAAGTTAATTGGGCATCAAGAGACCAATTGGAAAGTCGGGTTGCCGGTGACATCCCGAAAGTGGGACAAAAAACATGTTTGTTTTGTGTACTACAATGGTGTTGCACAACAACAGGGACATCTGTACTCCATGTCCTTTTGCACATTATTGTCAAGTGGCACGTTTCATGCTCAGCCAATTAAAAGCCAGAGGAATTCATTATATAAATGTCCGGATTAAATAGTAGTATAGTAGTAATAGTGTAGTAGTAGTAGTAGTAGTAGTATATTTATAGCAGTATTACTTAATTCTTCAATCCAAATTTTTGTAAAGGCATACAAAGATTTCCCCCACTATATACTATACTGAAACACTATATGTTGGGATATTTATCTATACTCCTACAGCTACCACAGCCCACAGTTTGATGTGTGTGAGTTTTGTCAGCTGCTGTATGGAGCCAGAGGTAAAACCTCTCCTTACTCTTTTTCCCCTCCTCCTTCACCTTATTGTACAGGACCTCTTTCATCAGCAGCAGCAATCGGCCTGAGAATTACTGCTCCACTGGGGCGCAGCCTACTTGGTGGCCATGCCAACGATAAGGTCAGCAGGGGCCAAATGAACTTAATGTAATATAATAGATATACAGTGGGGACTGTGGTCTCAGACTTTTGGACCCCACTGTATATAGTAGATGTAATATAATATAAAATGTATATAATATGCATTAATTATTGCTCTCTGGCTTACTGTCACATAAAGCAGTTCTGCCCAGCAACAGAGTCGCTTATAGGCCTACTGCAAAGGTGCACCCCACTCTATGCATGACCATACTACTGTAGAGTCTAACTACTGTATACACTTCTTTAGATGCAATTCACTCTTGAAGCCACCTGATGGTGCTATAGTATATGATGTGGATTATAATTTTATTAATCAGACTAATTATTTAAATATTGAACAAATTCTCAAATCTTACAAAATGTGTGAATACATGAGAAAACTTGCCATTACCTATGTTATGTACAAGTTGCATTCATGCTTTTAAAGGGGCGGATTTAAAGACACACATCTGAAAAGACATCAATGAACAGAAGGCTACTGATGAAGCTAAACTAATGTATATATTTTATTGTGTTTTTATGGTGTGTAGCCTTGGAGTCGAGAGTGACAGGAGACATGGGGGTATAAAGGTTTAGATGTGACAACGTGCTCAGACTAGGTTCAAGTGTTATCACGGGATTTCGTTCTTATATACAATATGTGTTGTTCAGTTTGAAGATTTCAGTTCAGTTGCTAGCTGATTGTATGTGACTTTATGTGCAGTTTTTGATATGTTTTAAAATGTAAATTTTTCTTTTTTTCTATAGGGCTTTTAATCATCCCACAGTAGAAAGGACATGAAGTGAGGATTTTAGAATTTGTTCACATTGAGCTCTCACTTTCCACCTTGTGCCAAAGAGGTGTTCTCTTCATGGACTAAGGCATCTGGGGAGCTGTATGAACATGGCAACTGTGGCGATGGTGTGATGATGAATGATGTGATTACACAGAGTGAGACGCAGTGCCTTTGTTTCACCAGCAGAAGGCAGTGTGCAACAAAAAACAGCTCACACTTGACCGTCCCACACAATTGAGAAATAAGTTTGAACCTTAGCTCTCCTGCTGTCCTATCTCTTTCTCTAAACACATGCCTATCACTACCCAGAGTATCCAGTGATCACTATATCAATCATCTGCTCTTTCATTCTCAGTATTGAGGATCCAGAGATATTTCAGTCAAAGCCGGTGCTTCCGATGTTAATGGTGTGCATTCTCTTTTGCACAATGCCAAGATAAAGCCAAAATCACAAATACAAATAAGAAAATGCCTTTCCCTTCCCCTTCTCCTTGTGTATATCCTTTCAGTCTCAACACCAGTGGCAAGACATGAAATTATACATAATTGCTGTTGGTTATTGGATGTGATAATGGCACCTTTTAAACTCTATCCTTGCATGGCCACCAAAATTGCTTTGCAATTGTCCCAGCTTCACAACATTTGGGAAACCACACAGCAAAAATCTGTCACAGCTCTTTGCGAGTGTGAACGAACAGAGGTAAGGTGACATCAGCAAACGCACATTTAGGTTTATTAAGAACCCCCCACCCCACTCAACCCCACCCCGCCCATCAACAGGTTTACTGCCACACACCGACAATGGGGTTGTAGACTCAGTTGTAAAGTAACATATTCAACAATATTTACTCTGTGAATGTAGCTTAATGCTAATGTGACATTTTCAGCTTATCTCTCATCTCTTCTACTGTAACGCTGCCGTGTGCCAATGTTAGAGGCTTGTTGAGTGGGTAATTGTTGTGGAATACAAATGTGATGGAGAAAAAAAAAACGTTTTATTTACGTTTGGAAACCTTATCATTAAAAGGAATGTGAATAAAAATTGAACTACAAATAAAATGTATTTGTTGCTGCAATAACTCCCTCTCCCCAGCTGCAGTGTGCACAGGGACAAATGGTGTGGAGATCATGTGCTTGGTCAGGGATGAAATAGGGGAAAATGACAGAGATGACACACACATTTTATCCACAAAGTATTTCTGCCTTTTCCTGTGACAAAATAACCTATAATAAGTAACTACTGAATAAACCCACAAATATAGAACTACACCTACATGCACAACGGGAGGCTAGACTGCCCTGTCCTCAGTAAATATGACTGATTGCTTTTTGCAACAGGTCAATAGTGAATAAACCTTGTGTATATAAAAAAAAAAAAAAAAAAAATCTAACTCAAGTGTGGTGGTCAGAGCAGCTACTGTTGAGAACAAATGTCAATATATCCCAAAGCTTTTTAGACAGCAATCATCCTCAGATGTTGTCTGCTGAGGATATTGGCTCTTATGTGTGTGTGTGTGTGTGTGTGGACTGTCCCTGAGACAGTTTGTTTTGACTCTCCGGTTTCTGTAATGAACACTGTTGATTCAGGGTCATGCTGACCATTCTTGAAGAATCTCACAACAATTATAGGCACTCCTGATCTTGTTAGGGCTGTGCTGATGTTTCCTTATCTGTGCTCTATGTATTTAGGTAGTGGACGTGCACATTGATCTGTTTGGAGGCTCGACAACCAATGTCTCATTTTGGAATATTGAAGCAAACATTATGAGGGATCATTATTTATTATTGACTTTATTCATTTTGTCACTGCAAGCGTTAAAGAGGAACCCTGACATTTCTGCTGCTTATGATTAACAGACTAATATGTTTCTACAGCTGCTAGAGAAAACCGTGAAAATGCAGCCACTGGGAAAGTACACCATTTTTTTAATGGTGTAAGGGCAATGGTAGAATGTGATTGAATGTAAGTGATATGTCATTTAATTTCACAATATTAGCTTTGTTTATTTGTATCTAATTAAACAGTGAGGAGTAGTGTACAGTGACTCAGCAAGATGAATCATGTGATCATAGAAAATGTTAAAACTTCATGCAATTGCCAAAATGTAAGCACAGTGATGAAATGTACCGATATTCCCAGGAACAACAACTGGTATTTTTATTTTAATCTTTTTGGCTAAATGACTTGATGCCAAAAATGCAAGGAGGCAGTTTTGACCTTCCATAAAAACCAGTGGAGTGCTACAGAGAAAGGGCTTGAAAGTGGCACAGAGAATATTAATTTAATTATAATATAAAACAGAGCAAGAAAGGGGGTTGGCGGATTGTGCATTTTAAATGTAATAATTGAATTCATCGTACTTTATTTGACAGTACAAAACAATGTCATACACCACAAGGCACAGTACAGCAGCACAGGCATACAATTTGGGACATAATTAACCCTTCAGTTTGTTACATGTACCACAAGGTGAGAAGGGTTTTATAGTTTCTGATCAAACAGAAAGAGTTTATATGGATTTTCCATGTAATTCTCGTCAAGATCATTAAGGCTAATATGTATCAACTTCACAGTAACAAAGCAATAATCTCCATATACTGTATTATCTTGTTGGTCTTGTTATTAAATATCATACAATACAATACAATACAAGCCCCTCTACATTACATTTACTTACACAGATATATAACTTTAATTACTTCATATATTACATTACACACTATTCATTTGCAGTTCAATAAAAAGCAGCGTTTTAAACAGTCTTGAAATACTGAATAAGAGTCTGTAAACGGTAAAATTAAAGCTTTATGCTTTCTGGAGGAAATGTGACAGTCGTAGCTTCCTAATCACAACCTGAAACTCTGAGGGGGAGGGGAAAAAAAAACAGGCAACAAATCTCCAATTATATAAAAATAAAAGGAAAATTTGCATTGGCACTATTTTGTTATAATGGGGAAGGAAGATAAACCTGGTATGATAAAGTTAACAATCAAGTGGTCTACTGATTAAATAAAGTAAATAAAATATTCTCATATGAGGACGTGATATCTCAATTTCTGAGTTCATTTTCGTCTTTGGTTGATTAAATCAGCAGCCTGGCTGATGATGCTGTGTTTTCAGTGTAGAAGCTGAGTGGAGTTTTTGTTCACTTATTAGGTTGAAAGGGCTCCGGGGCTCCAGCTGTTTCAAACTATTTCAGTCTGATTATGTGCACCTCAGAAATTTTAAACTGTATCAGTGACAGTTCAGTTCCAGTGTGTTTTTTTTTTTTTTTTTAATTTTAGGACCCACGTAATTATCTTTTAAAAGGATTGTGTTTCTGTTTGTCCATCCAATGCAACTAAATGCAGGGACACAGCAAGAGGAAGTGACTTTTATTTTCAGACAATCAATTCTATTGATTTGTAACTGATGAGTCCTTTGTGTTTATGAAAAAAAAATGGAGCCAGACATGGTTTTAATTTATTCAAATGATGTCATTTTGGTCTACTGATGTAACAGCCGTTCTTTCCTTTAAATTATTTTGATGTAAACAAAAGTAAGTGTCTTTTTTTTCAAAGCCTACAGAAGTCTGTGACATAACATCATAACAGTCTTTAAGAAGAGCAAGTGAATAAATAATTACACAAACGAAAAATGGACTGGGATTCAGTAACACGTATGGCATTCAGTAGATGTCTGCTCAGTCTTAATCCAGAATAACTATATGAAGATAATTTAAAAAAAATAAAAAGCTGTCTACTGCTAATGTCATTAACTAATCAAACATAATCAAAAATGAAATAAAACAAAACTTCCTATTGTTATGTGTAGCACCTCAACGTCTACGCCTCATGTACATTAACAAAATTGTAGTCTAAGTTCTCACCCCCAAGAAATGCCATGGTGAACCGGTCTGTATCCTTCCACACCTGTTGCTTTCACTGCTCCTTGTTATGAATGGGTAATACAAGAAAATCTAAGAATGGGTTTCACACTGTTACAAGAGCAAAGTGAAGCTAACCAACAGGCTAGAAGTTACACGGCATGCCTTCAAGGTGACATTTTTTTTTTATTTCCTATTTATGGAAGTAGCAGGCTGAAACACCACATGACCTGTTTGACTGAATCCCATTCACCAGTGTCGACACAATGGTGGAGAGGGTCAATGCACAGCTTCACACATCCACTGTTGAAATTAAAGAACACTACATTTTCTATGGGTTTTTTTTTTTCTTTTTTTTCCTTCGGCACTTTTAAACAGCTCCCACCACAACCACCACCACCATCACCACTGATCAATTTAAATGGCTGTTTCTCTCTTCCTCTTAGCTCTTCAGGCCTTTGCTGTGCATGCATTCATCCACCCAATGTCCATACTCTCATTTTCTCTCTCTCACTCTTTCTCTCTATCACTCTCTTTCTCTCTCTCTCTCTGTAGGTCTCAGACCACCAACCAGTGATGCAGCTGTGGGAAAAAAAAAAAAAAAAATATGCCCATGAAATCAAACAAGGACTATCCTACGGCACAGTCATAAAGGTTAATTTAATTTCAATGGGATAGTAGTCAGAGGAATATTAAATATGCATATTTGTGTAAAACCAGCAGAGATGTGATGTTTAAGATTATAATAAATCATGTTCGAGTCAACGCTTACAGTGAACTGCCGAACCTCCCCGTTGTCGACCAAATGATGCTCTGTCTCCGGGGTGATGGCATAAGCCAGCCTCTGTTACAGCAGAGAGAAAGAAGAGAACAGAACACTGTACTTGATCTTAAATGAGAGGGCTCCATCATGACATAGGGAACCAAACATGAGAACAAACAAAGATTAACCTTTATGTGAATCATTTCACCTCATTTTGGCTGCCAAGAAGACGTAGCTCAGACTTACATCGCAAAACTTTCCAGGCAGAGTGCAGAGTTTGTAGATGGCATAGAGAGGCACCATGGACATTGAGGAGATGGCCAGACACCACCCCACCATGTTGGCCCACGGAGGAAACATGTAGGAGCCGTAGTTCGGAGGGTTGAACGTGGCAAAACTCACCACCACCATAAACTATGGGAGGAAATGTTATGAATACGAAGCACTTGAAAAGCCATCTGTTCAAAGGGAAAGCAAATTAAGTCATATGATTTGCATAGCGCGGCGTGGGATGAGTGCGTGATGGACGCCACGCCGAGTGTTCATTCATTCTGTGGTTGTGGAACAGTGGAGAAGCTTCCTCCCTCAAATCAGAGGTTCAAGAGAATTTTCTTGAGTGTTCTCCTTTACTTATCTTGAGAGTGTAGTTCAGGCATTAGGTAAGAATGCCCTCTATGATGTGTCTCCTTTTGCACCAGAGTTATAGCTGTGTTATATAGGGGTTATATACCTCAGGTGCCCTGGGAGCAATTGAGGAGCAGGAGGTCTGGTTTACTTAACTCGCGTTCTCTATGAACTTGACCTGAATAAGCAGCCAGGGCTGTCGGTAGAAAGATGGTTTGGGGTCAACGTGAGATAATTGGTGATTTTTTTTTTGGTTTAAAATCACAGTCTCGATTCAATCTCATTTATCCTGCTATACTACATTATTTATCTTTTGTAATTTTTTAGTATTTGATATTTTCAGTTTGCATTTCTTTTGTACTGTCCAATTTGCTGCTGTAAAACTGCATCTTATCTTATCTTATCTTATTCTATCTTATCCTATCTTATCTTAACTCTCTCTTGTGAGGGTTCAAAAAGTAGGACTCACCAGGAGGAAGCAGGGGCTGACAAACTTCCAGCACAGCCTCCAGTACCTGCCTGGTCGCTGGCCAATCATCTCCTCAATGTCATCACTGAAACGATCCACTCCTGAAACACATGGAAATATTCACATCTCTTCTGCTTGGTATGTTTCCAGCAGAGGATATCAAGTACTTAAATATATACACATTTTGAATGTGGCCCCTATTCATAGGTTTAAAAAAGTTCCCCATACAGAAACCAATAGATGATTATAATGCAATCAACAATTTAAAATTTGCAGAAACTTAAGTCACTCTGCGGTTGTAATAAGCTTCTGTAGCATTTGTACCATATCACCATTTTCCTTTCTCTCTTAAAACTGGCTCTACATTTTCTCTTGTGCCCTCCTGCCTAGAGGGCAGCTCTCACTGCAGAGGAAAATATCCAGACTGACGAGCAGGTATTCAGCACAGCTAAATGTACTTCTGTAGTGGACAGCAGAACGAAAGACCACAGTGGCCAGGGGTCAAGGGTTCCTGTCACAGTTAAGAGGAAGGGGAAAAAGGCCCAGTGAAGCCTTAGGCTTGATTTATCTGCCTTGCCAAGGTCGGGACCCACCAAAGTGGGGCAATATGCTGACCCCCTACTGCCTGCGGCCTGGTTAGTATTTAGCCCTTTATGGATCTCTCCACAGTCAGGTTCAGGAGACATGAGACAAGAAACTCAATACAGAAGTTCAGGTCAACTGTTTTCCCTGACCTTTTAGATTGCCTTTATAATAGTTTGTGCCGGCTGATGTTTCAGAATTGAGGTCAGGTTTTCACACGCAATGACATTTTTTTTTCCGCTAGTGGTGCAGAGGGTGAAAATATATGCAAAGATAAACATCTGTCAGTAACGCAATTGGTCTTCAGCCATTAATTTACAAAAACACACAGATTCTACAGCCCCTGAGGAGAATCCAAACAGCTAACACTATAGTAACGTGTTAGTTGTCTTAGTGACCATAAGAGGTCACCAGGCTGTGTAGTACAGACAGGGGTTACTACAACTACTACACAACTAGAGGATTTCGTCCATGTTGTGCTGAAAGAGTTCAGGTATAATGCAGAAAAAATCATCACTCCAAAGAAAATGATCTTATCTCATGCAGAAATAAACACTGGTTTACAGAGACACAGTGAGTCAGAGGAATGTAACCTAAAAACATACACAGCACTGTGGAGATGATGGTAAACGGATGTCAAATACAGTGTCAGAAGAATCAGGCTAGAAACTTGCCACCCACAACTATTTACAATCTAGCTAACAGATAGCTGACTCCTGCCCATGATAAATGGGAAGCGCCTGTTCCCCAGCTGCACTTTTCTTTATGTGGTGCCTCACCACTGCTGAATGAACACATGGATACCTAACACTGGCAGCAGTCAAACCTCACTGAGCTCTCACGAGCACCATAGCTACAGTATATCATTGTACCTTAACAATACATGCACAAAGACCTGGCCAGAGACTGAAGAGGTCAAAACCATTAGCGGGAATAGAGCTTCTAGCTGCAGTATCCTTTTGTCTAATAGCAATATGTTGTATGGAGGCACAGAACACCTACACCAACAGATTTCTCATCAAAACCCCTAATATAACATCAGCTTTGTGGGCCATGAAAACATGAATCATCTGTTTTTTCCTTCCTCTTCTCTCCCGTCCATCTTTCTCACCATAGAACCACGCGATGCCGATGGCTTCAATGAGCACTCCAAAGAGAATCGATGTTCCTGCTGCAAAGTGGTCCAGCAGAGTGAACACATACATCCCACCCTGGAAAGACAGAGGGATGAGTATAAGATAAGATTTTCTATTATATACAATTTTATCATACAAGTTACAGTAAGAACAGACAGAATTCACTCTGATTATACAGTTCATTGCATTTACATTTGTCCACCTTTGATTAGTGCGACCAGGATGATACTTACATTTGTCACACAGAAGAGGGAGATGAGAAAAGTGGCAACAACAATGAAGAGGGTGAACAGCTCCCTGTGCTTGTGGAGGAATTTGAATTCATCGATCAGCCCTGTGATCACCGACTCCATCCCGCCCATCTACAAGACAAGACACAAGAGTTAGAAGAAAAACTCAAAGTCAGTGAGAGCTGAGCTGCTGAGTCACTGGATTTGTGTGCCGTGTAATAGCTCGACTGCAGCTCCAAGACACAACAACAGCAAAGTAAATGTAATTTAAATGTATAATTAATAAATGATTATGAATACACACAAACACCGGAGGTATAACATAACAAAGATATGACATCATCATCATCATCATCAATCTGCCCTGGCATAGTCACGTGTTATCTGGTAGAAAAAAAAACTGAATTGGTGATGAGTCCATGTGTGTGTGTGTGTGTGTGTGTGTGTGGGTGGGCACATACTCACAGCACTGTCAATGCCCAGTGTCAACAACATGATGAAGAAGATAACTGCCCACACTGATGACCCAGGTAATGTTGCAATGGCTTCTGGGTAAATGACAAACACCAACCCAGCACCTACGATACAAGAAAATCACTATTAAAGTAGAAAAACAGAAGAAAAAAAAAACGCAGTAGCATTTGGAGCATTTAAGATGAAAGCAGCCCTAAAAGTCACCTCCAAAATAGATCGATAAAAAGTGAAAAGTATAGTTTAAGATTAGATATAAGATACATGTTGTAAAAAAAAAAAAAAAAATTAATGAAGAATGAAGAAATGTTGGGAAACATGATTAGTTTTAATTGATGCATAAGCAACACAGCAACCCAGTACCACCAACAGGACTGGTGGAATTTACATCCAGTTACTGAATTCACACTGGGTTTTCTCCATTGATTTAAGTGCTGGCAACTGAAAGTAGCCCATCTTAAATATTGCTGACTCTTAGAGTAATTAAAGAATGATGCGCATGATACTGCTTCTACTCTTCTGGCATTGACAATTCCACTGTCAGCTGTTTGTAGTGTCACTTAATAGCCACCGTCATGGACTAATGTTAAAGGTAGGCTGATGTGGGTAACCCAAAATCAACAACCTATCACAATATACCTTCCACTCTCCTGTTTCCCATAGCACATGACTGACACGTGCAGAGAAGCTACAAAAGTAGGTTAGGCTCGTAGTCAAAAATACAAAGAGCGACGAGATACGGCTTAAATGAGCTCAGGGGAAATTTTCCTGCAACAAACACTGTTCTGTTTAGTTTTAACCAATTGATTGAGCTCCATTTTTTAATACATTGTATCTCATCATTAATTTCCGAAAGCTGAATGGAAAGCCTTAACTTGATGATATAATGAACTGATGATGATACAAAAACCACATTACAAACACAAACAAATAACATCATACCATCTCTGGCAACTTTGTCCAGGGCCACGTTGTGTTTATGGGACATGTAACCAAGGAAGGAGAAGACCACGAAGCCGGAGAAGAAGCTGGTTAAAGAGTTGATGGAGCTGGTGATGATGGCGTCTCTGGATTCATAAAATCAGATACGATGGAGAAAAATAAGAGAACAGTCCAAAAATGCAACAGTTCATTAGTCAGTCATCTGCCATCACACAGTCAATATCTACATTATTGACTAGCCAGCGACTACATCATAATAATGCTGGCCTGCTGCAATGAATCCGGGTGGCAACATAGTTTAGAGTGACTGGATAGAGTTTATCAATGATTATGTCAGTCAGTTGGTCAATATCTTATCTGTTATGTAACAGACCAGCAGCAACCTGTTGTCCTGATTTCTTTTGGGATATGGGGTCTAGTGTCCCGCAACTGTAAAAATGGTTCGGTAAATACAGGAAGTTAACAAATAAATAAGTTGGCTGCTGTTAAATAAGGACAGAGCTTTTCTCAAAGTATGTCAGAAAGAGGAGAGCTGGCGAAATCTACGCATTTGTCAATGTCTGGAAACAAAAAGGAGGAATCCTCAAGGTGGACGGTGTCATGTGTCAGTTATCAGAAACATTAAATAAGGCAAAAAAAGGAGATAAAAGCCTCCCGTGGGATGCTGATGATTTTCAAAGAGTGCGACAGTTTTGATTGGTGTTACTGCTGTCTGTCGCACAGCATGGTGTCAAAGACATAGCGGGTTTCAAGGAGCTTCAAAGGTTATTGTAATTCACCTGCTTATGTTGCACGTGTGTGTGTGTGTATGTGTGTGTATGTGTGTGTGTCTGTAGAAGCCACTCCCTGTCCTCTGTCCTGCCTCTCCTCCCTGTGTGTGTTTACCTGTAACAGTTGTTGCTGAATTTGTTGTAGCTGGAAAAGGCAATTAGCACACCAAACCCCACTCCCAGCGAGAAACAGATCTGTGTCGCTGCCTCAATCCAGACCTGGGGAGCGACAGAACAAGCTCACTTGTGTGAAGCGGCAAACAAAAGGCACAGGAGAGGAAAAAAGCCATTATTAGGGATAATTGCAGGAAACTCATTCAACGGCAGTAGATGAAAGACGCTTGTGAATATGGGGGGTAATTTTGCAAATTACTGCTCCATGCATCTATCTAATCTAATTCTCCAATTGCTGCCATGCATCTCTCTATCTCTCTCCTCCTTGCTTTCTCTCGCTTTCTCCATAACTGAGTCCTTTAGTCCTGCATGGTTACTTATTGAGCTCCTCGGTGCCTGCTATTAACGTAAATAAGATATTGTTATAAGCTGTGATAGCGGGTGTCACAGATAAGGAAAATATTAGAAACTGTTACACCAACAATTTTCTCACATTTTTTTTTTACAGCCTGAGGAGATCCCTCTTTAACTTCTCATTGTAAACCAGTGTGTTTAATTCCTTTTCCATATTGGTCTACAGGATACAGTGAAGGAGAGTGACAGTTAACATCTCTCAGATGTTATGTATTAACCCCATTCAGGCTTTTCACATTCAGCCCTGTTGATATGAAAAAAAAGGCTCAATTTGAGAGTGGACAGTGTTTTTGGTTAATAACTCTCAAGAGTTTATGAGGATAAAATGTACCCTCTGCCACTGATTTATCACTGTCACCAATTTCTAAATGCAATCATGTTACCCTATGCTTACTTTCTATTGCACATCACACACTTACATATCAAGTGATAAACTTAAAATGTCAAAGCTTTCCTTTAAAGTGCCTTTTAGCCACTGTTTTCCCCCCCATGCCGCTTCCACTTCTTCTCCTGCACCCCCACCACTCTCACCTCACTTGTCCCCCCCCCCTCACCTTGGCGTCACAGAGTCTCAGGAAGTCCACAGAGAGGTAGGCCTTAATGCCATCGATGGCTCCGGGCAGAGTGACTCCGCGGAGCAGCAGCACAGTCAAGACCACATAGGGCATGGTGGCTGTGATCCACACAACCTGATCAGGGTCGCACGCGTCACACACACAGAGGATAGCCGCACACGAGGAAAGAAGGCCACGCACACATGAATACGTGCAAGTTAGAGTGAAAATACACATTTATGCTGTACATACATATACAGTGGTCTTAAACTCTTTAGTGGATTTAAACTGGACTTGAAGACGTATTGTTTCCTCATCACACATAACCTTAAAGGGTCTATTTGCATGTTTTCTCTGTCACCGAGTGTGATTTCGAGTGGTGGTGATTATCGCTTGACATGAGCTTTGGCCATCTTTACATTATAATACTTCCTCTGAGCAGCATTACAGATTGGTGACAAGACGGGCCGGGGCTAGCTGGTTAGCGTGCTAACTTCAGTAGAAGGAAAGATGTGATAGAGACGATAGTGAATGCTGGCGTTGCTGTCCACCACTGGAGACAGCTGTTAAGGGTAAGGGAATGAAGTCTGATGCTGAACATGCAACGTTTCTTTTAGACTGGTAAGTAAAGAGCTGTCAATGTTAACGCTGGATATGCAGCAATAGCAGAACTTACAAATGGCTCCTTTAAAATAACGGCATAGCTTAAAGTGACTTATGACTCACGTACGAAACATAGCTACTATGTCATTTCCTACCTTGCCAGAGGTCTTGACTCCCTTCCAGAGACTGAAGTAGAGCAGAACAATCACCACAGCCAGACAGGAAGTCAACTGCCAGCGCGGACGACCCAGGTCATCAATGCCATTACTGTCCTGGATGTGGAGCACCCCTCGTCTAAGGAAAGGCAAGAACAACGACATCTCCTGAGTCTACTGTTTACAGTATATCTAAAGGTCTTGTATTTAGTATATTCTTCCCATTATAGACTCATTTGTCAAAGACCAAACGGAGCAGTTCAGGAATATTGTAAACATTGTACCATAAACCAAGACCTAGCTTAAGAACCTGTTACATGATAACACTATACCAGTTGTTGAGACAAGTACCCTCAGTAGGACTGTGCTGAACATTGCAGCCAATGTCTAAGAAGCTGTATGGCAAGTGCCAAGGCGCCAGCTACTGGTCTGATTGCAGGAGGCATCTTCTAGGAACAAGACTGATGCACACAAGACTGAAGGCAAAGCTTGGCAGAGGTAGAAGACATAGTGACCAAGCAAGAAACTAAGACCTGAGTCCTGCTGAAGTCACTTTGAGTCTCACCAAGAGACATTTATAGATCACCCTGAATTAAAGGATTCTAGATGCATTCAGAATTCAGTGAATTCAGTGCCTACGCAGCCTACCTGAAATACATTATTATTCACGGCATCGGTTAAGCTATGCACCTGGATCTGGATCCTGCATAATGTTGGATGAACAATCAATGCCTAACCTTGTTGAAAGCTGAGTACCTGGTGTTCATCAGTGACACGTGAGAAACCAGGAAATCTTGCCAGATGCAGCAGATACTACATTAAGTGTTTGCGCATGTGTTGCAAATGCTGCAAAATTTTACATTATAGTAAATCAAAAGGTCTCAAAGATCATGACAGCCTGCCAAGACAGGAAAACATTATGGCAATAAAAGGCGACAGATTTGAAAGAGTACTTTTATATTACATTCGAAAGAAGTTCAATATGACACCTATAAAATCACCGAACACTGTTGGTGCCTTGATTCAGATAATTTCAGAGGATGAGACTGAAAAAGATCGGCCAGTGCTCAGCTGATGTGGTCAAATTGTCTGCAGGTGGTTCTGTGTGAACAGCACACTGCCATTTCAGCTAGCATGGATGACATGCCTCGACTGTCACAACAGAACAACCCCTCACTTGTTGGAAAAGGAGACACCTGGTCAGTTGCACAGGGAGGGAGGCTGCAAGAGCTAAATGCAGCCAAACACTGGATCCATTTTGAGGCAAATGCATCTGATGTTAATTTCTGAATATTTTATTATTTGTTTAATTATTCATAATTGGACAATACTAAATCTAGACAAAGGGCTGATAGTAATTACAGGAACTTCAGTTATTCTGTAGATTCAGTGCATCAACTCTGTAGCATTACTGCAGCAAACTTCCTCTGAAGGTTTAAGTAGTTGGAGAAATACATAAAGTATGTTTGCCTTTAACTGCAGTTTCCATGTTTGCGTGCAGCTCCAAAGAACTCAACAACAATAGGTTGTGAATGGGAAATTAAAGTTCTGAAATTCAACTCACTCAAAGTACTCCTGGGCAGGGGTAACCTTGTCAAGGTCACTGACTGAGCTGTTGTCAGCCCAGTCGGAGCAGTTAGGACTGTTCCAGGTGTTGTTGCAGTGGACCCAGGGCAGCTCGCCGGTGAATGAGGAGAAGAGGTAGAACAGCGCCCAGGAGATGATGACGTTATAGTAGAAACCAACGTAGAGTGAAATGAGGATCACTGTAAAGCCCACGCCTGCGAGGGGAACACAAATGATCAATACCGAAAGTAAAGACAGAGATAAGAGAGTGGAAGGGTGAGGAGGAGGGGTGGCAGACAGCACCCACTGCACAAATTAGCACCTGAGAGATATAAGTGCCTTCTGCCTTGAATTACAGAGCACTGCTTTTCATGGCTGATTTCCTTGACTGTAAAGCTGTCCAGCGGTGGAAAGTGCTTTGCTTACGTACTTCCAGTTTTTTATACTTCTACATTTCAGAGGGAAATATTGTACTTTTTACTCCACTACATTTTTCCAACAGCTATAATAATGGTGTTATTTGTATATTGTTTTATTTTTGGTCCTTTTAAGAAAAGGACCTGAATACTTCTCCCAACACTGAAGATGTCCTAGTAGGATGACGCACACAACACAATACAAAAGACTGACAAATACTATTGTCTGCCCTATTTTAGTGAAACATAGATGATCATGAAATCATTTTATCGTCTATCTTGAGGGACCAAACCAAAAGGCGACCACAAAGTCACCTTTTCCCATTTTCCTACCGCATACACCCTTTCCCATATGACATCACACAGGATACAGTGAACCAAATTATATTCAAATCCTTGACAGTGGTAGTGCTAATCTTAGTTATTTTTAGGTGTTAAAACCATTATGAATCAGTAGAAAAAGTAACATATTCTACATACAGTCCAGACTTAGGCATGACTCTGCTGAGCAGTGACTACATTCTCACAGATCCCTGCACAACAGAAAGCTCAGTGTGAGTACAGTAGCCTGTGACACATGCCTGCGGTCTCACAGAAAGCAGCACAACTTCTCAAGATTGCCTCTTCATGCCTTAATTATCAACACATCTACCCTTTCTATAAACCTGAAACAATGTCCAATCTTCTAAGGCTGAATTTAATTGTTAACCTTTGCTAAGAGGCATGACCAGAACTGTGCCTTATTGATTCCTTTGTAATGTGGATGTGATATTTGTCCAGGGAGCGATGCCTCTTATTAGCGCCACATGCGGCCATGCTATCTCTCCATCTCGCCCCGTCTCCCCTTCTTCAGTCCTTTTCTTCAAATGCATTGATCCTGAGAGGAAACCAGCTTGTTGATCAGAATAATTACTGTCAATATGGGCATGTGTATGTGTGTGTTTGAATAATTACTGTTATCCCCCCGCTGGGAGACAGAGAGAGAGTGAAGCGTGTGATTAGAACGTCAACGTACTCAGTGTGGTCCCTGACAGACGGCACATGTTCACACACACAGGAGGCTCACGCTCAGAGACACACCACACACAACACACACAACACACACACACCACACACACACACACACATCACACACACACACACAAAACAGTCACACAGCACAGCACACACACACACACACACACACACACACACACACACACACACAGAAACACATGGAGCAACACGTACACACTGCGGGCCACCTTCAGACCAGCAAGGACGTGATCAACAAAAGACAGTGCTATGGCTTCATACTGTGAAGCAACACGTGGTCTGCTGGTATTTGACGCTGTATTTCTGATGCATCTCTGAATTTATAGAAAATGTGTTAAATATGAATTGAAGTGAAACCATAACTTTGTAACTATAAGAGCAGGGTATACACTGCAAGGGCAGATGGATGAATACACAATACACACAAGTCACATCTAGTAAAATATATGAAAACATGAAGTGTATCATTATATTTTCAGTCAATGACTTTGCTCAGAAATGTGGATTGGTCTTAATGTGTGTTTCTCCATTAGTGTACGTTCAGGTGGCATTCTCCTAAACTGCGTTTTGCTTATTGATGTGTTGAAAAGTACCCAGGGAGAGTGTCAGCCCGGTGCTCCTCCGCCACTGTTTGACAGAAGGATTTGGACAATCAGGACAAGAGTCTAAAAGCCCAATTTTCATTTGCTTTCCATCTGAGTGCCAACAGAACCTGATGCTGTGGGGAGGATAAACAATGCCTGTCGCTGCTCAGCGCGGAGATGAGCAGACAAAAGAGACTGGCATGTGGACAGGCAGGCATGTGGGCAGACAAGCAGACGGAGAGACATGTAGATATTGAAGGAGGTATGCTATCGGACAGACAGGCAGGCAGGCGGGCAGACAGATGTACACAAAACGCATTTGGATGTGTGCTCACGTGTGCATGCGTGAGTGGAGTGACTTCCTACCTTTAAATATGGGACAGATCTTCCAGACGCCTGCTGCACCCTCTCTGTTATACTGTCCCAGAGCCAGCTCCATGTAGAAGAGAGGCATGCCTGCTATCACCATGAAGAACAGGTATGGCACCAAGAAAGCACCTGCAAACACACACACATTTTCGTAAAAAAGACTGATTATTATTATCTGTTGTATTAATATAGTGGTTATATAATTGAGCTAATTAATAGCTATTTAATTTAGCTAAATTAAACCTAAGCAATATTTGATAGTGAATTTATTTGATATGCTATTTCAAGACAGATTTTTCATTTAGTTTTTCAGCATAATAATTCAAACCTACACAAAAATTTGTGCTTGCCCCATATGTGAATATAGTTTGGGCTAATTGCCCCAAATGAAACTCAGCAATATTGTCCCTAAATATGGATATGACAGGATGTCGGATTTGGGGACATACAGTGTCCCCAGAGCAGGGTGTCAGCCTCGACCACGGCTACAGTATCATTTACAGCTCTTAAAACATAATGAGAGCTCTATGTTAAACAGCCATAATTAGTGGCAGTGATTGTTAGAGCTAATCTATTCGGAGCAGCTGTGGTGGTTTTTCCCCTATTTTGATCTCTGTAAAGGGTTGGAAAAAATCACAAACAGCGACCAGCATAGACAAGGAGCTGAAACACACATGCAAACATACACACCTGTGAAAATACTGTATGCGTGAGTGTGTGTGTGTGTGTGTGTGTGTACGCGCGCATATGTATACGCATATGGTGTATGCAGGTGAAAAGATCCAGTATGCATGTGTAAATTAATTCCACCTTTATTTCCTCTTCTTCTACCCTTTTTCCTATACCTCCTTCCTCTGCTTCCTTACCCCCTTCTCTATCTATCCTCTACCTCTCTCAGTGCAGCAGACAGGGGGACCCTTTACACCGGGGAAAAAAAAAAAAAAAACAGCTTCCCTCCCCTCCTTTCATCTCTCTCACCGCCTCCGTTCTTGTAGCAGAGGTAGGGGAATCTCCAGACATTGGCAAGGTCCACGGCGAACCCAATGACCGACAGGAGGAAGTCAATTTTCTTCCCCCAGGTCTCTCTCTCCTCCTCCCCACTGGGGTTGGTCTGAGTCGGGGTTGGAGCCACTAAGGTGGTGGAGGTGAACTGGACCCCGTTCTGCTCCTTTACAAGGATCAGCTCCACCTGAAGGGTCATGAAGTTCATAATCAGTCAGATGCAAAGTAGAATCATCTCTCTGTACACTCCCGCAGAGCGGCCACATTTACATGTACAAGTATATACATATACATATATGTATGATTTAATGGCTGTCTTATTATTCTCTCACTTCCCACACATGGCAGACAGTAACTATCACCTTCATTTTATGCATTTTCTAATGTCATCTGTATAGTACATACACTTCAGATCTAGAAATCCATTTTACCCTCCAGAAAATTGAGCTTTTTCCCACCCAAAGGAATAGATTGAGCCAGACAGAGCAAGTCAAATGGAAATGCACCACACAGTGAGTCAGTAAGGTTTTCTTTATCAGGTTAAATTTATGCCATTAATCCACTACATGTGTCGGATCTGCACTGACCTCTTTGGGGCCCATGGTGTTGGAGGTGGGTTTTTGCGGGGCTACAACCGAGGACATCAGGCCGACAGGGACTCTCTCTGTCAGCATGGAGGGGTGCACAGGCTTTGGCAGCGAAAAGCTTGGGAGAAGTTGTGGAAGAGGAAGGAAGGTAGATGCAGCTGATGAGTCCTGAGTGCAGAATGGGACAGAAAACACATGAAGAGAGCTTTCTCCTTCCTTTTATGGGAAATTATTTATTGCTGCAAATATTTAAAAAAAAAAAAAAAAAAACCTCAATGGTAACTCAACATAACAGTGCTCAAAAAATAACCAATACAAACTGAAAAAAAAAACTTTTAACATTGAAGCTGTAATGTTACAAATTATAGCATTTTTCATAAAAATGTCAATGAAATTTTCAATATGTTACGCAGCCTGGTGGCAAATACTGAAAAGTGATTTCCAGGATTAGAATTGTTACATGAAACACAGAAAGAGCAAGAGGAGAAAAAGAAAAAATCAACGGAGAGTGATGGGATCTGGGATGAGGGTAACACGAAGGGGTTGGGTGAGTGTCTCTACAAGGCCATCGCAGCGTGCTCATTTCATTTCACACTTGTTGATCGCCATTTTGCTCACAGATTTGGCCCAGCGGCTACAATCCCTGTCTAACCACAACCTGTTGTTCACCAGATTTAGTTCTGATTTTTATTAGAAAAAGTATCAGTAAGAGGCCAAAGTTTATTTCCTTGGTATAAGAAAGTGTTCACAATAAACACATTTTGAATTTCTACAATAGATAATGTGCATTCTGTGCTTTAGTTTTCATTTTCACATCATCATTTAAACCTGTTATTCCACAAAATTGGTACAATTCTTTTTTGCTGCCAAATTCAGTCATTTATTCTGTTAATTTCCTGTCACCATCAGACATCAAATAACACCATAGGTTACAGCCAAATTCTTCAAATATTCAACAAAAGGAGAAACATTTACTCTGAAGTGAGACACTCACCTTTGCAAAATGACAGGTGAAAACACTCCTCCAGTTGTCAGTTTGGACGATTTAATTCCGGTTGTGCTGGTGTTCTTCAGTGCGCTGCAAACTGATGCTGACCATATTGACGCAGACCGTCCTTGAGAAGTTAAGACTCAGACCCAGATTAAAGCAAAGATGTTATTTAAAACAGAAAGAAAAAAATGCAGTGAGAGACAGGAGACAGGAGATGGAAGATAATGACAGAAGAAGACGAGAGGAACTGGTAAATCTATGATGTGATGAGTTGAGGAAAGCCCTCCCACCCTCCTTGGCTCCAGTGACAGACACACAGAGCCTGGAGTACCCTGTGGTCTGGTATGGAGATCTGTCTGCGGGACCACTCTTGAAATATGAGAAACAATCAACAACAACCCCCCCCCCCACCCCCCATCATCACCGTCACTCTCCTCCCTCCCACCTCACCCTCCCTCCCTGTGTCCCTCCTCCTCTCTCTCCTATCATTGCACATTTTCTCACCTGATTTATTTTTCTGGATGACTTTTCTTTCTGTGTGAATGTACATCTGTACGTTTAAAAACATATTCAGTTATTATCAAATTAAATACTGCAGTTGACCATCTGATCCAGACGCTTTATTCAAAGATACACTGTACAACATGTGAGCATGCTACGGATCTTTCTTGGCAAGAGGAGATAAGTGCTGTCTTAGGGGCTTAAAGTTAGTTGACATATTAGTACCTCCTTAATAAACAGTGTTTGTTCTTTTTTCTTTTCTAATCCTTTTAAAATTTAAAAAAGATTTAAATTACAAAACTATATTCTATAACTCAGGATCAATAAAGACTTGTTTGAAAACAAAGGAAGATATAATTTCCTTTGTTTTTAGACAAATCTTTATAGATCAGTTATAAAATACTGTTTTATAATTTATATTAGGATTTGGGATTAGAATTTTAAAATGAATTAATTTATAATGAAATGAATAAAGATGAATTAAAATAGATTATAATATTTCTTACTGGACTTTGGTTTGAAGAGTGAAAATATGTTAAACTTAATTAACTCTTGTTTAAGAAATATTATCCTATTGATTTATTTGCCTGGGAATATTTATTCTGCACCAAATGTACAATTAATCCTGTGCATAGGCTTTCTCTTAGTTTTATGTTGAAGTGGCTCAGCTGATGTGTGTAACTGTGTCAGAGCTGGCAGTGCAAACTAATGCAAACTCCTCAACAAATGATCAAAGAAGTGGGTTGTTGTTTGTGATGGTTATGTCTTCAGATGCAACAAAAGAAAACTGGTCATTTAAAGCCCCTGAAAACTTGGTTTGACATTGTGACTTTTTCACAATGAAATGAATGAAACATTTATGACTAAATAAGCAGCAATCATAGTTTCAATTATACAGTAAAAATCTGCATCAACAGGACTGTGTGGATTTGGTTTGTGGTCCTACGATTCTGATTAAAATATTGCTAAATCCTGATTGGCTCATGAGAGTAAGGAACATCACCTTTTTCCAAAAGGTTACAGATACTGAAAATACATTTTCACTTGCTTTAATTGCTGTTTTAAAATCTTCTTGTTTATTTTACTCTGCCCCTCCCAGCTTGTGCTAATTAGCAAACAACGGCAATGCTAACATGCCGTTTAGCAGGTTTAAAGTTGTTCAACAGCGTGTTAGCATGCTATTGTTTGCTAATTAGCACAGGTTAGTGTTTAGTGCTGAAGATAATGAGAATGTCATTAGGTATTTGTGGTTGTAACTGGACAACTGAAAACTGACAAGGACCATCAGAATTACTACAATTCATTCTGAGGAGGACATAATGCTTGCGTCAAATGTCACAGCAATCCATCCAATAGTTGACAAGACATTACACTAAAAACCACAAATGTGAACACTCACGGTGGTGCTAAAAGTCTGTAGGATTCAATGTCTGGGAACCATGACTGTTTGTCTAAAATGGCATGGAAAGGAAAAGTCAGAGGATCATTGACATCTGCTTGGACTGCTCTGGGCACCATGAAGAAAGTTCTATGACAAACCTTCAGTCTGGATTAAAGTGGTGGACTGTCAAGGGCCCAACAAAAAATACTGCACCACAAAGTCTGCCAATCAGTCAAACCTGCAGGGAAAGAGACCACAGAGCATTAAAAATAAATAAATAAACACACATTCAATGAGAAATAACACACTACATTATCAGTGGAGACCTTTCAATCACTGTCATACAAATTCCAATCCCACACAACTGCTTTTTCCGCGAGCCAGTGGTGGACAGGACATCTATAGACATCAACATGTAATCAATGAAAGCATATATGGGGCGTACTAAAAGGAGAGCTTAGGTAATGTCAAAGTCAACCTGCCTATTAAGAGCCACATCATATACATAGACATTTAATTTAAATGGATTGACAGTTTCATCCACTAATGTTGATGACATGGATTTCTGCTGACTGGGTCTTGTTAATACAACTTGCAATACAGCTGTATGAAAAAACCTCTACAAAATACAATACGCCTGATGTGATGCCCAACACGCAGAGGTAACTGCATGTTCACTATGTGACCTCAAGAGGGAGACATTTCTGAAATGATCCAGCACATGAGGAAGGATAGGTTACTGTAGGAGATATATAGGGAATTCAGTGAGACTGTGACTGTACATTAATTGCTTACATCAAGTACAAGTCCATGCTATAGAAAAAAATAACATTTGGGCAGAAGGGACTCAATTTCTTGTACTGCTGTGGTAGAAACTCCTCATACAACACGCTTGCAATAACACATTCGAACTACGAGTCATGTGACCAAACACACACATTATTAAATTACCATTGTGACAGTGAGACAGCTGTATGTTAACATTTCTTTTTTTTTTTTTTTTTTAATTCAATCCAAGAGTCACATTAACAAGTTATATCATAGCAGTCCTGAACAGACAAATCCAAAGTAGCTTGCAGGAATGACTCTTCATCATCAAAATGCATTAACAAAATAAAACCTGTCGAGTATAGAAAAAAAGAAACAGGAAGTAAAGCTACAGAGAAAACAGAGAGTTCAGCTTCTTGGTCCACACACAATAAGCCATCAGAAAGACATTATCGCTCTGTCAGAGTACACAAGTCTTTCGTCTTAGGCTCGCTGCTGGACAAACTGTGGTAAGCAGGCAGCAGTAGCATAAATACAAGTTTATCTCTTGCAGGTTTACATTTTCTCAGACTGATAGCAAGTAGAAAATGAGATTCTCCTCTACTGAGGTATTTGAAATAAAGGGAAGTAAAACAAGTGTGAAAAGAAAGGGACCCAGTATTTTCCTACAACCCCAAAGCGGAATTGGTCTGAATGTAAATATTGAATATATATAAATGTACATATTTGACTTGCTGATGAAGTATGAAACAAACAGCATGGGGGGTTACTGTGGCTCAGTACATTTCATTCTGGGTCAGGTCTTGAAATATCAATTCATGTCAGTGTGTCAATTGTAATTCACAATCAGATTCCCCACCTATATACAAAAACAGCATGATTTCCCTCATACATACATACAGGGTGAATTGTATACTTAACCACCTGTTGTAAAAATCACATCACTTCAGAGTACATTTAATACTTATCCATTCCACGGTGCAAACTATTTTTTGTCATTTAAATCCGTACGATGTTGCCGAGTTCTACAAGTTTACAAAGTCATTTTCAAGCTACAAAATTTCCACAATCCTGAGACATAGCAGAAAAGTAGGTCTATAAACAAATGTGGGGCAAGGGACAACTTCCATTCATTTGTGATCCCTAATTTCCTCTGTGCTCCCATTACTGTAGCAAATATATGAATGAATGAAAAATTATTCATATTAACAGAAATGAGCTACAATACTGTAACCTACAAACAGAACATGCTTTACAGCAATGTGATATTTCTTTAAAAAAAATAAAGAAAGTAATCTAAAGTGCAAGCACAAATACATACAGTTTAAAAGGACAAAGTAGTATGTGGGCAATACTAAAAGATTGTGATTGAACATATCAAATGTTAGTTTATATGTACGTACAGTCTGGAGTGTTTGTGCGACGCGGCCCGTCATGTGGTGGCAGACATCACCTCAAGGCCCGACACACTTACACACTCACACTTTGCTTAGTTCAACCTGCACGTCTCAAAACATAAAATAAAAAGTCAATGGAGACAGGGTTCCAACAGGATAAAAAGTGTACATTTGAAAACCATGACTTCTTAGGAAAATGTCCACTGGAGATCAGCGCTTTGAGTAGCTTCTGATTGTGACAAGATTGTCTATACATTCTCTTTTTTAGCATAAAAATTCTATAGATTCAAGGCTATCGGTTTCCATATGAAATCTGCATTTTGTTTCTAAGCAATCAACTCAGTGATAATAGTAATAACAACAATAAAACTTTACACTGTGTATGAGGAATACAGCACAAAACAATTGCAGTATTATACAAAGGAAAAAAAAATGTGGCTCAATTTTCACCATCAATACAATCTGCAGAGGAGAGAAGATCACAGATCTCTGTCATGGCAGTGAAAATAAAAATCATTCATATACGTATATCAAAAATTCACAAAATGTCCTGCATTTGGAATATTCAAAATACATATCAGAACTCTTCAAAAGCATACATCTTGAGAAGGCTTAAGAGATGTGAAATATTGCTTCACTGAAAGCCATAGCGGGGACACATGTACAGTATGCATGGTCATGAGTGTAATGGGAATGTGATGCTCACCGACATGATATTCTTACAGAATTAAAAAAAAAAAAAGAATAAGAAAAGAAAAAGAAAGGGAAAAACCACAAGTTTTAAATCCTTATGAGATATCCATGAACAAAAAAGTCAACAGAATCAAACCATGAATGCACAGATCCCAGTACAACTGGCTACAAAATGATTCTAATGCATTTCATTTCATCTGCTGGAGAAGTATTCCCTTTAACAAATCATATTCCTATAAAATGACATTTATAGAGAAGCTGCAGCATTATCTAGCTTTCATTTTGTGTTTTCAGTTTTAGGTTATTTTGTCTACTTCCAGAGACAGAAGAGAAAAAAAAACAAAACAATTTAACAATTTAAGAATTGTTGGCAAATGATTGCAATGAGCATCAATGGTAAGTTGATATCTAAACAGCAAAAGTTTTGTCAACACATTAAAAGTGTCACTTCTACAGAGAGAATGAGTAATGGATAATTTAGAAAATTCAGGGGAGAACTGTTAAGTCTTAATACAACCTAGTATGAATCAAGGTAACGTTCTCTTAAAATCAATAATTTAAATACCAATAAACACTAATGAACATCTCCACTATTCGCCTGATTTGAGATAAAATTTGTAATCTTAAATATTCCATCATTTTAATTCAATTTGAAAGCATAGGTCCACCTAACCCATGGTTGTAAATATATTTTATGTCCAGAGATTTCATGGCAGTTTAATGAGAAATCACTATATCACATTTCTGAAAAATTTAAAAAATGAGGCATAAACATTTGGGATATTTTTGAGTTCCAGACTGGTCCCTAAAATGTGATTAAATGGCAAAGGTGCTTGGATCGCTTTTAAAACATGCCTCTCTTAGTGAAGGAGAACACGCACATCAGAAATATAGCAGAAAGGTCAAATTTACAGGTGACTAACGGGCCAATGTTTAGCTATTACACCCTTCAAAAGATACTGGATCAGTGGGGATTTCAGACAGACTGAGGAATAATATGCTTTGAAAAGTGGAGGTATGATTAAAACTGTAGCAGTGTAACGCAGAAAGGAAAATAGTATGACCTCGCCTTTAGAAAACCCAACTTAGCCACGAAACTGAATGTGCTTTCAATGGTCATACATTGTGAATTTTTCCTTTAAAGCCATTACACCTATGACTGGAGAAGGACAGTCAGGTGACATGAGGGGTGACATTAAATGCATTTTTGGTCCACGTTGTGTAATTTTAACAATAAAAAAAAGACACTTGAATCTGCCAACCTGAAAGGAAAAAAAACACATCAGTGAAATATGTTTGAATGAAGAAGGACTGGGAAGAAGAGAAAACATGTAACCCAGTGAGCATCAAAATGATGACATCATACAAGTTAAATTTTTCATTTTTGTCACTGAACCCTGAGCTAAATCAAATATATCATTGTGTATAGTATATAATATATATATATATATATATAAATAACAGGCTCATAGCAATTATGACCATCAACTCGCAGAGACCTGAGTTCACCTCAAATGTGGCTGCTAAAGCTTAATGCTTCAAGTGGTCACACAATTGTCACTGGTACCGTCAGGCCTCCCTTCTTTAGATAAATAATCCTCAATACTGCTCAAAATAACATGAGCCCATGCATTCTGCACTTTCAGTTCAAAAGGCAGCTACAATTAAAGAAAGGAAATAGTTAAAAGTTACAAATAAAAAGAGAATTGAACACTGATTTCACTAAAAATTAGTTCACTTCACTGTCCAGGGCTTGTTTTTTTTCTTGCTTCCCTCTTGTTAAAAACATGCACAGTCAGTACTCTGTTGGAGGGAAAAGAAAAAAATAAAATAAATAAACATTTGCCCCAGGAAATTTTATAAGTGCTTGCCCTTCAAGTATTCAAGCATTGTATCTGAAACAACCAGTGTTTGGCATTTTGACGATCCTTGCTATGAAAAAAAAAAAACAAAAAAAAAACAAAACAAAGGAATTTATAACAAAATAAACTGTTACCAGGCTGAAAATAACCTCACAAAATTTCATGGATACAATACTAATAAAAAAGGGTACGGTAAACTTCATTTTTGTGATTACTGAAATGTAGTCCCTTACTGTTCAAACAAGATACTAACTAACAAGTAACTAACAACCCTTTGCCTCTTACACAACAGCCTCTCACCAGGAGAGGAGTTAGTTTTCCCCCCCGTTACATTTTAAACCGTTTTAGTTGTGTTTCTTGAGGAGTCCATCTATTGTGCCATCGTGGTCGTTGGGGCTAAAATCGGGGCAGATACCGTTAGCCGTTTTGGTGGTGGCAGTGCCGTGCGGGTTCAGGGAAGACAGGTTTGGCTTTATTTGGTGACCGTGGCAGGGAGCGCTGTGGAGGCCTGTGTTTTCTGTGTGCAGGTACTCCTCAGCAAAGTCCTGGTGCTGCTCCACAAACCCTCTGAACTTGTCTGTGGAAAGACCACAAGAGGGCACCAGAGAGACAGAAAACATTAAACAAAATAATATAAAAAAAATGCCCAGAGATACTACACTTAAAACTAAAGTGGCTTGGTTGTTGTATATCTACTGCACCTCATGAGAGGGTGGAAAAAGACAGAAGAAGACAATTGCTCTGATAACCAAGCAAAGTTTGAAACAGATTCAACTTAGAAATATCTAGGTCAATAGTGACCAGGGAGGGTGTATCTTATTAGTTCTCTTACCAAATGTGATCTTCCCTGTGTCTTCAGAGTCGATGGCGGTAAACAGACGTGACACGCTGAGGTGAGTGACTCCTAAAGCTGTCTTCAGTATAACTGCCAACTCCATCTCTGTGATGGCGCCATCCTCCTCTGCCTCAAACATCTGGAGAAGATAAAAAAGGGGATAAAAAGGGGAAGAAATGTGAATGCCATGTCTTTGACTTAGCCTTGTGACATGTCCCTATGACAGGGCTGTGCGATTAGGTGCCAGTGAAGTCGGTCTTTAAGTGGATGCTCTTTTTCTGAAATAATACATTCTGTTCTCAGTGGGTTCGTTAGCTCTAAGGGCACAGAGCCTGCTCAACTCTAAGAATAATACAGAACAATTCAAGTGAAAACATGGAAGTGACTAAAACTTGAGCTACTTGATTTTAATGCAACCACAACAACAGACTGGCTTCGATGATAACCCCCCTGAATGCACCTTTTCATTTCATCACCCTACACCTAAGACGACCAACAGTATGTGGCATTTTAACGCAGCAAATGTCATGGTGATACTAAGCAAGCACAGAGAACTCTATTCCGCCTGGTGGTTAGACATGCGTAAAGCTTGAAACAGAACATACCTTGAAGGCCAATTTCATCGTCTCCAGAGTTTTGGCAGGTCTGCATACCACAGATAAGGCTATCACATATTCTCTGATATCCATGCAGTTATCTTCATGCTGGAAAATCGAGAGAAAACAATGCGTTACCAAAAGATGAAGACAGAGCATGTGAGCGAGAACACTTATTTATTTCACAGGAGTAGCTACTGGTGACTGTTGTTGTTACAAATACACTGCTGCAAATAAAACCTTTACTGTTTGTTTGTGTACTATACTACAAATTTATCCCAGCATGTCCAGCTTCCAGGCTTGGTGTTTTTACAGAAGCATCTTGTCAGCTGACAGCTAGGAGTTCCATCTTGCCCTAAACTCTAGCATTTAAATATATTGTTTTATATTTGCCAGGAATGTAAATATAACATAATCTGAGAGTTGTTACCAAGCAAAAAAGGCACAATAAAACAAATTATTTAGTACTGGCTAATGAGGAAGATTGGGGAGCTAAACACGCTTGTGAGTGAAAAAAAAATCTTCTCAGCCTTTACCTCATCAAAAAGAGCAAACATGTCTCGCAGCATGTCTGAAACTGGCACATCGAGGAACTGAGCGAAGTCATCCGAGCCCAGCCTCTGCCCCTCCAGCTTCCTGGCTCTGTTCCCATACTCCTGCAGAACCTTCTCGGTGTTCTGCGGTTTCAGCCTGGAAGAGTGAGGGGGAGAAACTTTATGTTAATTAATAACTCGGCCACAGGAGAAAAAGAATGAGTACAGCATATCAACTTCTGTGACAACGTTTGAGTTTGTTGGAGCTGCATTATTTTGAAATGTTTGTTGTATCTGATCGAGTGTATTTGCATTTTCCCCTCCCTTGTTTTCTAGTCACTAGTGCAGGGGACAAGGACACACTCCCCAAATGCCTTCCCACCCGCACGACCACACCACAGATACCTCTGCCAGAAACCCGCGCCGTTCTGAGTATTTTGCCCGTCTCGCCCTTGTGCACCTCACTTAGTTCTCATTGATGAGTGTATTGCATTGGAAGGTTTGAGTGACTCACCCCAGTCTCCTGACGAGCTTGGCAAACTCCAGCAGACAGGTGTCGACTGGCAGTCTCAGCTGGCCCTCTGCCATGGCCAGCTGGCAGTCTTCAAATGAATAGTCTGTGATGGGTACGCCCAGGGCTCTGAGCACAGCACAGAGGAGACAATAGCGGGACATCAGTGTGTGCAAATCGATGCAAACTTTGCTTCAGGCTTATAAGGCCAATATAGTAGCCGATATGACTTCTTTGATATTGAGAACAATGTGTACAGTTTTTTTTTTTGTCCACTTGCAGAAGTTTCCCATCCCAGGCTCACAGCAGTGAAGCACAGAGCGTGGGAGTATATGAGATCACAGGTAGTAAGAACAGCTGGGACAACATGAGCACTACATAGAAGAGTTAACGTGCAAAGTAAGGCAGGGTGGGACAGAATTCTAATGTTATTACTTACTGCGGGCATAATGTGAATAATGGTTCAGGTGTCATAAGTAGGTTTATGATATTTAGTATTTTCTTAAAACAGTACATAATTTGTGGTTGAGAGGACGAGAATGAACCACAAACATCTGCCTTCATAACCACCGTTCACCCTTTCAGACCAAAGCTGTACAGAGATGGACCTGTTTTCACTTGTTTGCTGGTCTGTGTGAAAGAAGTATTGAGACAAAAGTAGTGTACCCAAAAAACAAAAAGTTCCCCTGGTCAGTATCTCTAAACTGTTAAGTAATTACAAAAATCCTGTCCTTTCAATACAATTTTAATTGCATTTAGAAGAAAGAATGAAGCCAATTAATTTTAGAAACAGACATGTTAATTAAACTATAATGAAAGGTACAACTTCAACAAAAGTCAGTGCAGTCTTCATTAATGAAATTCCATTCTTTTTAGTTTTTTTCATGATCTGTATGTCTGTCTTTATTTTTGATTACAGATTCGATCCTCCTGGTCGTGGATGACGTACGTTTTTGAAAAATCTCTGGAGTTCTTCACAGATGATTGTTTACAGTCATCGCTTTGATCAGGGTTGTTGCTCTACCTTCCACTTTAAAATACTTAACAGGTTTTTTTTTTTTATTGGATTCAAGTCAGGGGACAGACTTGGCCAGGTCATAGTTTTCTTATTTTTCTTCTTTTAAAAACTTTTTTTCCTGCGGTGTGTTTGGGATCAGTGTCATGCTGGAACGATCTTTTTATTAAGTATATGAGTACACAACCTTGCATTCACAGTGCCATCTAGAAATGTTATCTCCTCTACACCTTTTCCACTCGTGCTGCCTCGCATCAGCACACTCCCACCCACCAAGCTGGACTTATCGGATCCAAATACATTTTTTTCTTTTTTTGGTTTCAACCAACCAAAGAATATATTGCCAACATTCATCAGTTTTGTCTTCACGTTTTATGCCATTTTGTGACAAATGTTTTTCTTCTTGGACACCATCCGTAGAGGTTGACTTGTCTGATCAGTCACTGAAAAAAAAGTTTCCACAGATAAGCCTCGTGCTAAATCAAAAGCACTTACTCGTCTGTTTTTCAATCCAAGGTTATATAAATAGCAAATTGTGCGTGGCATAATTTTTCCAGAACGACCACTGTGCCTTCAGTTATTGGTAGCGTGGCTCCTCCTCTCCCTCTTTACCACTGCTGCAACTGTTTCAGCTTATATTCAGTAGCCTGCTGATGCTCTTGGACCCTCTTCCATCAACGTGGAGTCTCACAATTTGGTTTCCTACTTTTTCAGACAATTCCTTTCCATGGGGAACCACGTTGGATTAGACACAACCCAGGCCAAAACTGAGAAAGCTCCGGTGTTTACGTTATTTTATTTGAACTTTTTCACGCACTTACCATTAACTGAAATGACAGGTGAACTCACTTTCCAATGAAGTAATATTGGTGGGCTATATTTTCAATGTAGTCTGCCTAACCTGTGTGTACTTAATGAACACAACTACCCTACACTTCAATTTTATACAATTACTGTAAGATGGTGCAACTTTGAATCATTTAATATTTTAGTGATATTGCATTTTGCAGTTTTGTTGTGTACACTTTGTTGCTTTGTTGTTTATAAGTAAATAAAAGCCAAAGTAAATGAGGCATCAAGTAATAACTCAACAGTCAACTTTTCTTCGATACATTCAAAGGATGAACGGCCTTGCATAATATGAACAATGACATACAACAATACATTCAACTTACTTCGCCATGACGCGTCTCACATTGATAGCAAAGAGAGCGGGGTTCTTTTTCTCCTCCTCTGAGGGTGTGTAGATAGGAAGGAACTGTGGAGTGAGCAGAAAAGTGGTATTAATTAAACTTTAAAGAAATTTAAAATACAAATTCATAAACACAGGGAAAAGAATAAAAAAAAGAGATGAGATAAAAAGAAAGGGGCATACATATATAGTACATCTTCAAGAAATAAGGAAGAGAATAGAAGGAATGACAGGGATCGCTTGAGATTCTTTTATTAATTGAGAGTTCTGCAAGTGCAGAGTTCATCATCATCATGAGCAAACTGGGCATGATCTATAGTCATGTTAGTGCATGCAATATGGAGAGATACTTTGACGCTTACCTCGATCACAAACTCATTGTGCAACTGGCAGAGTGTCAGCCACAAGATTTTAAACCTGGACAATAAAAGGACACAAAGAGACAACAAGAGCCTTAATTATGGTCCTTGTCCAAAAGTGGTGAGAACCTACTCAAGTTTTTCCTCATTAGTATGTTTAGGAACAAGGTTTTTTTTTTTTTTTTAATTAAAAAAAAAAAATTTAATTCGATGGTTTTACATAAATGCCTGGATCTGGACAGAGATCTGCAAGTATTTTTAAATGTTTAGGTTCAGTCTTTAGGTGGACCAACTAAAGAAGTCAAATAGTCAAGTAGTGTATAGTTCAGCTAAGCTGAGCTGGGAAGACAGCCAACGGCATCCAGACAGACACCATCACAATGAAAGTCGGATCAACACAGGACATACTACTCTAAGAACGGTATGGAGATGGATAACAAGGACAGCCTTTCTCTTTCAGCCATAACTAATCTGCTTCCAAGTCTATTTGATATCTTATTGTGGAGATTCAGATTCAGACCGTAATGCTAAAAGCAGATATTCTACTGTATCTTAACAGCAAGTAGAATCTGATGAACACCGTACGTTAATAACAAATATCAAATAAAGAAATTGTGTACTTACGCTCCAGGTCCTTGCCATGTCCATGTGATTGAGTCCTGTAAAAAGAACATAAAGCCAAGACAGTATTACACAGATTGAAATAAAAATACATTTATATATTTCCTGGGTGCATTTCCAGACCAACTGTTAGCAGCTTTGGCTGCAGCTCTTCTTGCACTAAATAGTGGGGGGAAAGCTTTCAAGCATATTTTTACACTTATAACTGCTATTACTGTGCCATTAGGTGAAGGCAGTAAATTCCCGTGCATTACTCTAGTCTGACAACTCAAAACATTGGTTCACATGCAGTGGACAATCAGATTCCACAGCACCTCTGAAAAAAATGTATACCAATTGTGCTCAGGTCCGCTAAAAGAGAAATTTACTTGTGTTAACTGAGTTATTCTTAATCCTTTAAACTTAAAAAGAAAACGTTTTTTTTTCTTGTTTACATAAGACATTTCTGAAATCAGGTTACTGCAAAAAAGTGGGGAATTCTGGAGTTACTCAAGTGCATGTAAACAAATTGACTTCGCAAACAATTGTTTTTTTAACTTGAAGTATGTGTCAAACATGTGACCCCAGTGAACTCAACATCTTATCCATGTTGTTACAGCAGAAGTTTTGCGACTGCATTTGTGATTTCTACAACTTACCTCACATATTGCAGAACATGTAAACACTAGCTCTCAAGAAAAAGGCTGCACAGATTTGGGCCCGCCAGTAGGTGACTACTGAATCATGTCATGCTAAAACATACTGTCCGGTGCAAATGAGTTTAGTAGAATAAACTTCATCTCATGTGACCATCCAGAGAAAGTTGCTGAAACTTGAACAGGGCAAACTCATGCTTTCTCAAAAAAAGCTTTGCATAAATATTCAAGCTTTATATAATTACTGCCATGGGCTAATTTTGAAGCACAAAGGGAATTAAAGTTGAATAATAAATTAAATGGACAGATTTACATGATTTGATTCACAAATAGAAACAAACACTCAAACTTGCTGCCATGGCTACAAGTTGTATATGCCCCACAGCATTTTGCATCCTCCTAACTACAACTCTCTACGGGATTACAAAGCTTTTAAACAGACCCACATGACGACTGTGGACTGGTGCAGTGGAGCGTTGCAGGTGAGCAGGCACAGGTTATCAGTAAACAAGCCCTATGTATCCAGCTCTAGTGTGATTACTGATGATGCTGATTGTGTATCTACAAGGTTATTTAATTGCATTCTAAAGCTGAATTGTTGCTGGCACAGACATATTAAAAAGACACTTACTTAAAATCTAAGGTTTTTGAATGTAGATTCAGCCTATTTTCTGAGTTCAGACCGTACTGTAGGTAGCACCACCTTTTACTGTGCCACTCCCCGCATATGGAAAACCACTCATGCCTGCTGCACTGGCTTTGATCAGTGTTACTCACATTATGCAAGATGTATTCAAACTGAATGGAAATTCAGTTTCAGGCTGAAAACTCTGATATTCCAGGGACTCTCAAATGCTGCAGTGTCAATTTTGCAAAATGTTGCTTAATCATTCATTAATCATTAATGTCCCTAGTTGCCACCGCCTTGAGACTTTCAGGAATATGACCACAACCACCAAGTGTTGAGTGAGGGAGGATCTCACAATGCTGCATGGCATTCTGCTGAGTTTGCACAATGCTTTTGCTTTACCCAGAACATTTTCTCCTTCATGGATACTATATATAACTGTAATATCTTTGTTCCCACCATGTGACCGGTGAGATATTTACCTCGCCACTGAGTTTGACTCTGGAGAGGCGCCAAGCAAGCTACAGGGTTTGCATTGTATACATACAGACACACATATGGCCCATGCAAATGCCTCACAGAACTAACACAGAGCACTAACATTTTACCTACTGCAGACCATTCATATAATTTAATCGTCTACCACTGCCACCATTAGGTTTTGACTTAATGCCGTGTATAACTTGCACCTCTCGTATGTTGAACCTGTTGGGAAATCTGCTCTATAACACTCTTAGTTTTTAGTTTGTATAACTGGCAGTTTAACAGCAGCAGATATCAGAGAGTAAGGCAAAAGAGAGCAGATCATAGGTTACTACCTGCTAAATCAAAGTAAGAACAGATTATAGAAGATAGTTGATGCGGATCAGTGGGCAGGTGATGGGCCAATAATTAATCTCTAGGGAAACCAGTGTCTGACCAATCACATCTGTAATTTGTCACACAGTTAACCAGTGAAGAAGGAGATAGGTGTTCTATTCCCCATCTGTTTTATATTACGAACTTTGAATATCAAACAGATTATTTAACCAACTACATAGAAACAAATATGAGAATAGGATTTTTCTACAAACAACTGTGCCATTAAGCTGCATTACTTAAGTGTGCTTAAACAATCTTACCAGTTTATTAGGGTAACGAATCACCACAGGCTGCACTGGCACAGCTGGGATGAAGGCCCCTGTAAGAGTAAATAAGACATAAAAGATTGATTTCAATTTGACCTGTTTCTATAAACAATAAACTGGGTTGAGAACAACACAGAAATTAGACTAGTAATTGCATATTTGAAAAGGTGCACTCAATAGTTAAGCTTTACTGTCAGCAAAAGAAAAAAGAAAAAAAGAAATAAAATCACACAACTCTATTTCATACCTTATATTATTTGAATATTAGAGGGGATTCTTATGGGAAATTACAGTTACAAGGAAAATGTCAGGTAAAACTAAAACAACTGGTAGTATGACTTCAAACAAGAAAAAAAGAAGAGAGCTGAAAAAGGAGAAGAGTGACAGTAGAGAAGCTACCTGGCTTAAAGGTGATTAAGCAGGATCTATTGGTGCATGTTCCCTCTGGAAAAATCATTATCTGTAAGTAAGAGAATGCAATAGTTTATATATTGAAAAGAAGACATTTAAAATAAAAATCATTGCCACATATCAAACAGCAAGTTGGAACAGCATAGTGTATGTTTATTTGTATTAACTTGCAATAAAATGCAAGTTATAAGTGAGATGAACAGTTAGTTCAATTAGATCAGCAATGTTTTCTGAAATGCTGGATTTTACGAGTAAAATGTTTGTTGTGATTAGTCTTTCAGGAATCTCCATGTTTGGAAATAAAAACTGCAGTTTCTGTTTGTCAACGTCAGGTTTTGTGCAAAAAAAACTGAGTTTGTAGCGTTTACATTTTGTTTTCATAAATGAAAATATGTCAGTTGCTGTCATACAGAGTCACTAAGCCAGCATAGATGTTTGTTAATTTCAATCCTCTCGTTGGCAAATGTGTTGTAAAAAAAAAAAAAACACCTGATGTCTTTTAATATTAACAATCAGGTGCTGTTTGGAATTGTTTTGGTTATTCGGTAGCCGCAAATGTGATGCCTGTTTTTGCATGTGTATGTGTGACTTCCAGTCGTCACTTACCTGAGGCCATTCTCCTCCAGAGTGGGCTCTGCGTTTGATTTCCTCCACGGTCTTCTTTCTGGAGTCCTGGTCTGACCGTGATACAAACACTGGCCTAATGTACTTAATCAAAGCTAGAAGCAAAAGGCAAAAAGAGAATAGAGAAAATACAAATCAATACAGAAACAGTTATTTCTTTTGAAGGCAAAGCAACTACAGCTTCTTTTCATTGTCTGCAACTACTGCATGTCGAGGTTTAGTTGAGCGAAAGGGAGAAAAATCAAATTTCCAGTTAGAATTGGGCATAAACTATACAACAGTCATTTCAAAGAACCCAGTCAGATCTTTTCACTTCAGTTGGTAAAACATGTCATGCCTGTATTGGCTCAAAGAAAAATATTTCAGCAAAAAAATACCAAGATCATAATTGTTAAATAATCTGATACTTCAAGAGCACAAACACTTCACTGTACTGGCTAAGAAAAGCCAGAAGCTCCTCTTCACATCAACCACCACTCTAATAGTGTCCTTTTACAAAGCACTTAACTCGAAATCACTCAAACAGAGCTGCACAGTGGTGACGAGTGGGAGAATGTGGTTATACTGAAAGATTCCAGTGTTAATGCGGCATTCATATAAACAGTGCAAGCACTGCTGAATAGAAACCCTGTTATCTAGGAGAAACTACCATTGATAAGGGCAAAACAGTATCCAGTAATGCTTACAAATCATTATCACACTATTACAGAGTTTATGGGCCTTGTAAACCAGCTATCATAATACTTCACACAGAGACTGGACACAAAAGTAAGCAGCCAACCTAACCTCATATATGGAAAAAAGTCATCAAAAATGTCTTTTTTAGATGCTGTATTCATCTGTATTAAGACATGGTCATGGGTTCTTCAATGCTGGTTCCATGAGTCAGATGAGTCTCACATGTTGATCACAAATTCAAAAAGGTTCCTGCTTCCCTCTTCTGATTACAGGCAGAGAATAAGGCAGTTCTAGCTACAATCTAGACAATCATGTCAGGAGTTTAGACACCAGTGGGTTGATATGAGAAGTTCAAGTGATACAACAAGAGAAACAGTAGCAGTGACAGAGTTTTTAACTGCTGGCTGAGTTGATAATGCTCAGTTATTAAGAATTAAAAATTGAAATGTGTAACTTCACACAAACTGTCACCCTCCAATTCAAGAGGCCAAGGATCATCAGACAAAATCCACGTCGGCTGATATCAGCAAAATGTGCTGATGTAAACTCAGCTATATTATGGGGCTGGGTGTCGACTCATTATCATCAGTAGAATTGTATTAAAATGATATGATCATATGATGATATTGTTTTACAAATGCACATGAGCTTTGCATGTTTTTGATTCAAAACATGTAAAAAGTTTTAATGTAATCCATTACAGTGGAACAAATTTAAGGGAATTAAACCTCAATCCTTTTGCATTTCAATTTACAGTACAGTCAAGAGTTTGGACACACTTTCTTTGTGTCCAACTTTTGACTGGTACTGTAAATTGAAATGCAAAAGGACCTGTGAACAGAAAGACTGGGTTCAAAGGCGTTTTGTAGATGCCGGAAGCAATTTCTTCTATATCCGATCTTTATCAAAACATAGAAAATCTAGCTAAAGCAATGTTGCTTGAAGCCCTGTGACAGAGAGTCAGAAAGAAAGAGATACAAGTTATGGAGAGTGAGGATGACACGAGGTGAAGAAAGGTAAGGGGTGGGGGGCATGAGAAGAAGAAACTGATTTCAACAGTGAGCTGTCTTCCGACAGGAAGGGATTATGGCTCTAGCTAGTACCTTGACACACACACTACACACGTCACTGTGGCTGATCAGGTCTTAATGCTTATTTTGGATTCCACTTGCTTGGCCAGGCATTGGTGCCTGGTTCCTAATGCAAGGCCAATGGGACTGGTCAAACTAAAGTTGCACTGACATCAGTGGGTGACCTTATTCAACATCTTTGGGACAGTCTAATATACAGTGACCAGACAAACCAAAATAATGCCATACAATCAAATAAACCGTGAAACTGTACAATGATTAGTTAATTATGCTCCTTTAGATTCCTTCAAAACATCTTAGTTGACTGCATTTTTGTCAATGACTAAATGTGTCCGATGATGTTTTCAATCCCGAAATACAAAGCAAGTAAGTGAATTGGCAAGCTTCACTGAGACGGGAAGTAAAAAGGGGCTAATCACTGACTTAGTAGACAGAGCAGAAGGAGGAGAAAGGAAGCCTAAAATAACACACACCTAGACCTTGTACTATATGCCCTGCTGCCAGGGGCATTAGAACAAATGCTTAAATTGGCAAGTTAGCTAGTTAGTAGGATCTGCTATTACACCACTCCATGTGTCTTCCATAAGGGCTCTGGTGGTGCACAGACAGTTGGTTTTCTCAAGGTCCTGCTGTTTGGTGGGATCCATCACTGGCAGTAGTGATACCATAATAAAAATAACACTGAAAAACTCTTGTGATTCCTGATAATAAAGTCGTAACAGTTCAGTAGAAACAGCAAGTGGATGATTTAATTTGGGAAACTTATTTTTTCTTACACTGAAAACAAAATGTGCAGAGACTGTGAGGTTCAGGTTGGATTTCAGTCCCTGAGCTCTCGACTTTACTGACATTATGAAACTAACTTTCTTTCCAGACATTTCTGGTTCAGGTTACAAATTGAGGCTGGCAGGCCAGCAAACAATTCTGTCAATAACATTAAATAAAATCCTGGGTTCATGATCATTAATGGCAGTTACAGGATGTCTGATAAGCTAACAGTCTTTTACATCTATAGCATTAAGTATTTAAAGCATGTAGTGAGTTACGACTGAGACATTTTCCTTTACTTGTCTGCGTGCGATCATTTATCCAGACAAAGATATCTGATTTCTGTTTCTTCACATAATGGTGTGTTTAATGACATGGCACTACAGAACTGAAGTAAAAAAAAAAAAAAAAAAAAAAAAAAAAAAAAAAAAAATCATATTTTACAGAATGAACTTGCTGAGTCACAACTGATAAATCAAAGGTCTTCCTTTTTCAAACAACTTCTGCTTCCAATACAGCAAAGCATGTGTCATGTTTTTGTGCGTGTTAACAAGTATTAGCCAAGCTCTACTTGGCTTCGATTCATAGAAAACATTGCTGGGAATTGGGCAATCTCCTCTATTACCAATGCAGCAGCAAAATCACACAAACTGTTGTGGCCTGCCTTTTACAAAGTAGCTTTGCCTGCCTCAGTGAACATCACAACACAAGGCATGTACTTGTGTATACTTTACCTGCCGTGGAATCCACAACTGCTGTAAAGTTTGGATAATAACTGTGCCTATGCACAGAGATTACTGTACTCCAGTCAAATAGTTTGTAATGCTGTCATGAAGAATCAGATCAGTTTTTTTCAGATGAGAGTCATTATATTACCTGTTACCTCCCTCACAATATAGGTCATAATCAGAAGTAATGTTACTTACTGCCCCAGAGAGGTATATCCTTGCTCTCAGCCTTCATGACAATTGAGGCCATTGTCATGGTGACTGGGATGGCATCGAAGTAAGAAGAGTGGGGTGCGAGGGTGAGGATGGGTGCTTCTGCAGGCAATGCCCTTTGCCCTTTCACAGTCATCCAATGGAAACCTCCCGCAAACCACATGACCCGCATGATGATCTTCAGAATTATGTCCACCAGTCTGCAAACGAGATCATGTATGTGTGTGCACTTTTCATTTAAACTGTAGACACTCTCTACATGACATAACATATGAAAATAATAGTCACAGATACAAATATCCAATGACAAAAGATAGAAGACAGAAGAAGATTAGGGGTAGGTAGGATTAAAGTTATAGCAAAAAATAAATAAAATAAAAACTCAATTTCTTCTCTCTAGACCTCTCTCTCTCTGTTGTACCCACACATTTGAACTGCTAGCACTGTCTATAACCAAGCCTCCTATGAAAATATGACATTATTCACCTGCTTATTCATTAACCTTTCAGGTGGTATTTTTAGTGTTTCGTTTGAGAGAAGTGTTCAAGAAGAGGAGACCTGTGGCTGCTGTGGGAGTTTCTTGGACAGCCTATTACACAATCAGGGAGTGTGGAGCTCAACATAGAGGGTCGAACTACTCAACTACCGCTCAAGGATGACTCAGAATAAAATGAGATAGGTAACAGAGTCATATTCTGATTTTTTTTTTTTAACCCTTTTTTTATTTTGACTCTGGTTTCTTCATTATTAGTTGCAATCTTACAAACAAAGGTGTAAATTATTACTAGAAACAGATTTTCTCACTTTAATGAATGTACCAAACTTATTTGTAGGTGCCCTATTGTGCAAAAAAAAAAAAATGTGGTTGTTCAAACTTGTATGTGAAGTAACATTTTTGAGCCATGTGATTTTATATTCATGCTGAAAGCAGCATTGGTGATTATGTGACTAACTACCCATAGCATTCTGCTGTTGCCGATCAAGTTCAAGCATGAATCTTTCCAAAACAAATGTCTCAATATCACTTGTTTAAAAGAACAGTAGTGTTCCCTGAAATACAGAAAAAAAAAACCAACCAACCTCTTAACAAACAAGCACAAATATGCATAACAAAGCACCCACCTCCTCCAGAGGCACTGGGGTTCAACAGCGGTCTCGGAGCGTCCCAATGAGGCCAGGAAGGCAAAAGGCCAAGCCAGCAGCATCATGAATGCAGCTATGAGTAGACGGATGGGGAATAGTGTGACTGTCATTAACGCAATCTGTAAGAGATTGAGGAAAAGAGAAAAAGGTTACTGGAACGGATCCAAATCAATACTTCAACAATAAGTGTTGTCAGCCATCTTGGTTGTTACGGTTGCAGGCTGTGTCTGAAATCACTCCCTCATTCACCACTCGTTATATACCTTAACTTATACACTAATCATCATTATCAATTTGCATCATCACCAACACCTGTTCAGTCACACAATGGTATATTTTTCATCCATACAATGCAGAGCGCTGCATTGTGGGGTTGTTAGCAGTAAGTAGTTTCCATACCATGGATACAATGAAACTGTAAAATTTAAAAAGACAATTTAAAAAAATTGTGTGATTCCCCTCATGTTACAATACGGCATTCATGTGTATGATACACCTTACAGCTGCATATACAAACACATTCATGTAAATGTTACATGATCTTCATTCTTGAAGGCAGACAAAACCTGGCAGTTCACTGTTTGAGTTCAATGGTGGCTGTTTACTTTAGAGCTTTTTATGACTGACCCTGATAACAGTGCTTATCTTCTTTCAATATTTGTCTTGATAGCAACCACTACTGGGGAGCATCAAGACTATCTGCATTCTCTTATCTGGGGGGAGTTCCTGTCTGAGACTATAGTCAATTTAAATCAATCAACTGAAAGCTTGACTGTAACTACTGACAAACAATGAGCACCAAACAAATTTTGGTGACTAGTTGAAGAATAGTCACCCACCCCCCTGCCAAAATATACCCCTAGTCTGAGAAATAACAATACCTACACTAAAATGGCATTGGCTACATTATAGGTGTATATTTTTAGGACTTTACACACACACATCCTACCACAGCTATCACAATGACACAGCACATTAGTTTCTGTTCTCTTTTCATAGTTCTCCAACATGTTTACTTTCACAAGACTCTCTTAAGATACAGGGGGTCCAAAAGTCTCAGACTTTCCCATGGGAAAATGGCCTCAGACTTTTGAATCGCATTATACATGAATTACTTTTGTTCTTCTATCACACATTTTATACAAATTTCAGGTTTAGTGTTTTTTGCACAAGAAAGAACAAACAACACAGTGCCAGTAATATTTTCTATAATAAAAAGGGGCCTTGACAGGATTGTTTGAGAGCATCTGTATAATGCATTTGTTAAAAGATTTATTCAGACCCAAAGCATGAGAATGCATGAATGTCACTTAAAATTAAAACACAGGCAATGCTAAGAAAGCAAAGAGGTTATTCAGGAGTTAGAGTGAATTCAGACATTGTGCTAAAAGGCATCATTAAACTCATGCAATAGGGCTTAAATGGATGGGAAAACAACATAATCATTCATGTGGACTAATGCAACTTGGGAATTGTATTGTAGCTGCCAACATAGGGCCTACATTGTAAATATGCTGTAAGTAATGTACAGACAGAACAGGGGCTTCTTGGCATCACAATCACAGGCTACTCTAGCACAGCAGAAATCAGAGCTGAACTGTAGCCAGTTGCAGGTATTACGAACAAAATGCAAAGCAACAACTGGAGTCAACTGTGAACCAGATGTTACTGGTGTGTGGTTAATTTCTCCGCCCTGCTGATGACGACCCTAGAAGGTCAAAACCAGTCTGCATTTTTAACCATTAGAGTAGACCCTGTGTGTGTGTGTATGTGTGTGTGCATGTGTGTGAATACACATAGTATTCATGTAATTCTGAATGCATTGTCAAACCAAAAGGAAATCTTCTGTATTGCTTTTCAAAACCTGTGATCCATCATGAAGCTGATAGCCATGTCCTTTGTTTTTTTAATACTGTGTAGTCATATCCATAGGTTTATATGTTCTTCCAGTGACAAACACACAACCATGGTTACAAATCATGCTTTCTAACCTTTCTTGACTAAATACACCCTGAAACAGGACATTGTAGTAAAAAAAGAAAACTAACAGAAATCATGATCCTTTAATTAGTTGTAGAGACGTGTATGAGCTTCCTGTCTTCAAAGTACAGATGCTACACACTTGCCTTGCCACTTGCCTCTATTTACAGTTAGTGAGAGGCTGCAGCAGTGCATTTAGGTTGTTCTGTGTGGTAGTGGGGCATGTAGACAAATTTAACACTTGAATAATTAATAGTGCACTATCTACTGTAATGGTATGTATTTAAGATCTCACTTAATGATTTTAAAAACAAACCACTATGGAGAAAGCACTGTGTCTTTGCACAGAATGATCTTAATTTGGTGTGGGTGAGCTGCTTCAGGTTTTCAGTGAGAAGATGCAAAACAGCAATAAATCCATGAGTTTAAAAAGCTCAGAAGATGAAAATACAGGAAAATATACAGCAAAAAAGACAAGTTTATAGTGGAAACCTCTCACTTTACTTTAACCACAACCTCAGGGCTCAATGGGCAAGCAGTAGTTCACATGCTACTGACACTTTATTGAATGGGACCTTAAACTCAGCAAACTGCACCTTCAAAATCCCTCTGATGAATATGTATAACTACTCTTGTAATCAGATGCCCAATTTTGAGGTCAATACATAGAAATACTGATCTTTACAGTGTGGGAATAAGCTATTGACCAATTTCTGCTTTAGTAGGATCAAAACAGATTTAAGTCTTTGTTGGGTTCCCCAATAAAAGCTTGCCCTTTGACCTTACCAACTTTTCAAGGGTTTATGGCTACTGTAGGACTGGAATGTTTTCTGATACTCCTAAATCACTAACAAAAACACTGCAATATGTTTTCACATAAGGGCTATGCCAATCAATTCTGTAGATCAATTAATCAGCTCATCAAGGTGCAAAACTGCAAGAGCGTCTGTATACGGATTCAAGGCTCAGGGTACTGAATTACAGAAGAGCCTAGTAATGAGTATAAGCCAGTCTCCACAGTTAATCCAACATTTGGGGCAATTGACTAATGTGGCTATTTGTCAGAAATGGTCACTTTATTAACTACACCCCCTTATCCCCAAAAAAGAAGTAAAGGTAATGGATTGAAAAAGAAGTGAAACTTCTCCAGTTACTCTCAATTGTATGGTCTACAGCACAGACTCATGCACTGTGAGCCACAATGCAAGTTTGGCTTGTCACAAAAAGGACAGTTTTTCATTCAGCTACAGTCTATTAGCTCTCAGGCCCTTAGCCTGCACAAGCAATAGCATTATGCTCTAACACCAAGCATACTCTCATGGCCTGGGTTAATCCAACATAACTCATCAGTTCCTATTACCATCTGTTACCCCTCCTGTGGGGACTATGGAGGGCTTTACATGTATAACATGGCCAGAAATCATTTACTTACTTATCAAAATACAATTCTGAGACAATCTTATCCCTCTATGTCATCTCACACCATTTAGTTACAGTCTATCACCTAATACTGTAGAATAGGCACAATAGATAAACAAGGGATACATAATTTTCCTTTTAAAACCTAAAACGTATTCTGTAGGTTCATCAATTTATTGGTGAGTCAGCTGGTAGACAGAACTATTACTTTTTGCTGTAGTCTTCAGTGTTTCAGTTCAGATTGTTTGTTCTTCATGTTGCTGTTGATATGAAAGCAAGACCAGCGCAACATGCTGAGAACAGTTGTTCCCAGTAACATCAGAACAACTAGGAAACTGATTTCCATCATTCCATGACCCATTTTTTTGTTCAGCGCTTAGTGTTTTCAAGAAACCGGTTTCAAGTGCCTTGCTCTTCTGACTTCCTTACTGTCATGATAAAACATATGATTATAAAAAAGAATGGATGCAGAAAAAAAGGCTTTGTTGCCAAGGACATGTCAGGTAAATGTCACTTTATGTTAAAATGTGTGTAATATTTTACAATCTATTTTTGGCCCAGCATTCAAAATCCAACATTCTACAAATTTTAAACAGCACATACAATCACAACGTAGAGCAAAAAAGTGTTCACAGCAGTAGATTCTGTGATCAGTCTAAATAAATAAGCTCAATGCTCCACTGAATTTGTAATGCGAGACTTATAGGAGAAACCAAAAAAATGTACTTATTCCCTTAGCTTTGATCCACCTGTCATTCTAACTTTTCCCTCCAATCTCTGTCAGTAGTTTCAGGAGGAAGGAAATATGTGTGAACCTCCCTTGGTCACTATTCTTACTTGTAACAAGATACTCTCTCATACCTGCTATGCCAGAGCAGCGCCATTCATAAAACCAAGGCTCTCCCATTAGACTGGAGTCTGTTACTGAAAATATCTCACAGCTGTGTCCCAGTTCCACACTGTTTACTAATACTACATAGTACATGCTATGTTTGACTTTTGATGGTAACCATTTTGGCAGTTATGTGCCATAAATAAGAATGCTTTACTGTTTTGTACCTACAGGTAACAATATAATCACTGCTGGAAATCAATCAAACTGCAATTTTGGAAAGCTGCTGCCAATTTCAGATTTGGAAGCTTTACAAAGAAAAGGCAAATTGGTTTTCACAAGATTTATTACACTTATTTATTTGTTTATCCTGGAGCTATGGGTGATAATCAACAATATATTCATATCAAACTGATTTAGAATGCATGCTGGCATTTTTAATTATACTTTTTTGGTCTTTCTTCCCCCCCTTGGTGTGAATGTACAACACACTCGAACAAGATAAAAGTAGTATACAGTGTTCAACAGGGACATAGCTTCACAACTCCATAAGCCCATGGACACAAAACAAAAAACAGCTCTCAAACCTCATCTGAACCTCTATGTTACTGTACAAATGTATGAAGCAGTATCTACTTTCTCAGTGTACCGATAAATGCTAACTCATGGCTCATGGTGAATACATACACTACTTAAACTGTTCTGAGATAGTGTGAGGTGAACTACAAAGGGCCCACATGAGCGTCCAAATTTATAAGCAGCCCCGCGTTGAAAGATATTTCAGTGCTCAAGGGTATACATGATGAGTGGAGGTTTCCATCATCTGTGCAGAATGCAACATGTTGCAATATTTGGAAAGTACAATTCTACCATGAGTGCAATATCAATCAGATTAGGAGGCCTTTTAAATTTCTGTCTTGAAATGTCTGTGCAAGCTGTATCCCCATGATTTTTTTTTTCTTTAAACTTTTTACAGTTTTTGAGCAATGAAGCTCAAAAATACAAAACCGGTGGCTGCAGGCTTGAAGTAGCCTTCAAGTTAACACCTTTTGCAGAGAAGCCTGAAGGCTTTAAATCTGATTATCAACAGCACTGATGGAGAGCTGGGCTGCATGTCTGCTCTGTGCTGCAAAATTGTAAAATTTAATCAGGTGACTGGTTTATTTTAAACGAGATTGGCAAAAGCGTGTAAACTTTAACAGCTGGGGAAAATCTATCTAAGCTGCAGATGGGGAGGGAGGGGGGGTGAACATGACTGTCAGTTTTCCATCCCATATTCTCCATCCTCCACATCCACACGTGTTGGCTGCTGGCTGAGTGGGACGCACCATGATAGCTAACAAAGCAAGAAAAAAAATGCAAGGACAGCTGGGAACGGTATTTAAAAAACACCACATTCAACTATCCCCCCGAAAAAAACATGCCTTCTTGATGAAAGCTGCCATAATATCTATGGCAACAGTTACAGAGCAACAAGCTAGGCCCATCCTGGACAGGCGGCCATGCTCAAATAACTGTATTTCATTTTAGTGGGTTGTTAGCGGATTCCTGGGCGAGACTGTTTTTTTCACGTTTTATATGCTCAAGTGTGAAATACCCACCATAGCTGCAGCCAAGCATCCCTTTTTCAAAGACTCTCGGCCCTTTACAGCACCATTAAAGAAAGGCAGGGAGCCAACAGGACAGAAGGGAGAAAGCAACATGTATGTAGCTAATGTTAGCTGACTAGCTAACACTAGCTCAGCTGACAACATGCAATCAAGAAAAACTGCCAAGTTAAACGATGGTGACAGCCTCTCCGCTGCGTTGCTCTACAGCGTTAATGTTCTACAGACAACTAAATCAGCATGTCAAGGTATCCGCACAAGAGTAAATAATTTGGCTGAAAACATAATATTACCTTTGCTTTTTCCAGAGAGGTGAATTTCAAGACGTGCACAAAAGGGTTTCTGAACGGAGGAGCTTGGTCCATCTTCTTCCCATCTCCTTCCACCGCACATTGTTTGTTACTCGGCAATCTCATTCTTCCAAGAAGTCACGTTCGCCGAGGCTGCAGATGTATGTTCAAAATAGAAAACTGATTTTGCCAGAAAGGAACACTTCACGCAGAACGCAGTTTCCCTTATCTGTCTTTCACCGTGGCTAATTGAGATGGCAGTGCAGGGTTATTAACGTTATCTTCCTTTCCCGGGCAGCATGGAGGGATAATGGTTAGCTCGAGGATTAGCTGGGGATATTTGAAGTCGCCGATATCTTTCTGCCTTCCGTGCGCAGGACGCCTTCCTCCACACCGCGTTCCCCAACCAGTCTGCTAGCTCTGGATGCTAACTTAACGGAGCCACGATTTCTCTCCTCTGACAGAGCGCATGCGTAGGACCCAACATTCGCATCCATATCATTGTGCGTCCTGAGCATCGCACGATGTGATTCTGCCTTCACAACTGGCCAAAATAGAATAGTAATTTCTCATTTGCAGCGGAGGTTTGCAATGCTCCTCCACTACTGGCCGAGGGCAGGGACAAAAATACTACAAACAAAGCTTGCGTAAATCAAAACAATAAACATGAAGCTGGTGTTTGAAGACCGTTATTGCTGTGTGAGTGTTTTTTAAAAGCATAAAACATTTAGAAATAAAACAGTTGAATAAAAACCACAACTATTGATGTAACCATACCTGTTGTATTTCTGCAGTATTTCTCGCAGTGCTGGACTGTTATATTCAAAACATGTCTGATAGCCACTGTCTGACAGTTAGAAACAGACAGCATGGTAAAAATAAATGTAAATCTACAAATGATTGACCTCTGTTTCATGTCATGTTAACCATAATCAGCACTGCAGCAACTGCCAGTTGATGAAGTTTAAATTTGTGAATTTCTGAGATTTTAAGTTTAAAGGGAAAGATAGCAAAGATTAAAGCTATAGTAAATATACATCAGTATAATGTGTATTCCCCAGAAATGCTTGGGAATTGGTACAACTGAGACCTTTTTTTGTTCTCTGTTTGAATTACCCCACACTGATTCACACATGAGGAAAAGTTAAGCAAGAATATCATTCATCTGTATTTCAGTGGAAGCTGCAATAACAACTGATGACTGGAAGAAAATGTTGTATGTATGTTCCGCAATATAGCACATGCTACTACACATGCTACTGTATCTCTTCAATTCATCTCTGAAATATAACATCAGGCAAATGGGCTGTTTTCATCACAGTCTCAATTCTTTTTAGAAATTGAAAAAGGGAACTAACAATTGTAACCATTGCTACAACCTGTTTTCATGTGTGTGTGTGTGTGTGTGTGTGTGTGTGTGTGTGTGTGTGGGGGGAAGGGTGCACAATAGCACAGTACACACAGCTCACCTTGTCTTTGTGCAACCAGCTGGATTAGATATCTATCTATCTATCTATCTATCTGGTTGGGCACTCTGCTGGTTAAGGGTGCTAACAAGGAGCCTGCTTTCCTTAGAACAAAAGGAAGGGTTATACCTATTATTAACTAGACACTTGGTGTCCAGATATTCATGTAGCAGAGGAGTGGGAGTTATAAGAGCTGGTGTTCATTATAGGATGGTTAGGTGAAAATGGACTGTATGCCATAGGAGCTATATCTGTCCATGTGTGTGTGTACACATAAGTAATTGAGTGGGTGTAATGCTCTGAATGCAGTCACTGGTACCGTAAAATGACTCATAACAGCCAGATATGACATGACATCATAAATATTATATTCATAGATTATCTATACTCTTAGATGATTTGCATGTAATTGCGGGGAACTATAAATCCTATACTGATGCTGCATGTTAATTGCCTATGATTTTATTAAGTATTAGTCACAAATGGCAATATAAATTGTTCTCCGTTGACCAAATAAATATAAACATGAAAAAGAAATAAGTAGTTACAAATGTGATAGGATTTATTTTTGATATTTTGCTTGTATGTTGCTCAGCAAAATGAGATACTGAACTGGTGGATTATCTAAAAAGTGTATGCATTTGAAAACATGACTGCATTCAGCACCATGATTTTTAACCTATGTAAGATTAATTAATGAGTCCAGTTGTTCTCAAAGTGGGGTCCAGGGACCCCCAGTGGTCCTTGAGGGGGTTGCTGGGGTCCCCAGCAAAAAAGGGGAATCATTTATTTTCACTATTATTCCATCGATAAGTAACACAATGATAGAATGTTTGACTATTTTGGTCACTTTCTGTAATTACACATCTAAAAGAAAAAATCTTATCGAATGGGGTCTGTGGTCTACTTTGTGTCAGTTCAGGGGTCCTTAGCGTGAAAAAGTTTGAGAACCACTCAATTAGTCTACCACCTATATTGCATATAGGAATTGATAATTTTGGATAATTTTGCACTCTTCAAATGCAGAGGTCTTATACTATTTGGCATATTATGTGCATTTAGCATTGTGCCTATTATCTCAATTGAACAAATCTTCATAACTGATTATATGCCTCCCTCTAGTGGTGAAAATCTCACAGTACATTCAGAGGTGCTATATTTCAGAATATGCAATGTTGGAACGTTAAACCTTCTCAAACACACACACACACACACACACACACACACACACACACACACACAAAGAAAGTTACAGCTACAGTTCTTATGGATATTACAATATATTAGATATAGATAAGATAAGAGAAGATAGTCACATATTAGCCCAGCAGTGGGGAAATTTGCAGTGTTACAGCAGCAAAGTTAACAGTAAAAAAGAATGCAAAATGAAAATATCAAATAATAAAAACCTATAGGTGAATAATAGTATTGTATAACAATATAGTAAGTACAGGTAGATATTAAGAATATGTTGTAGTATGTCAAAACATAGCAGCATAAACATAAGGACTATTTCAGAGTTTGTGTGTCTTAATTGTTACACATGGTAAGTTTGTGAAACACAGTAGTATTGGACAATTAAAGTACTATGGATTAAAATCACTCAGGAAATTCAGAAAGATAGTACAGACCAGCACCCAGCCAAAGAAACTGTCATTCCATTACATGTGTATGGGTAGGAAATAATTTACCATACTTTGACTGGAATTTAACATTGATGTCAGCAGTGACCTCTTTGTCACCATATAGTTAGGCCAAGTGGTATAACAGGCAACTAGAGAGGTGGGAATATGTGAGAGTAAAGGATGTTTTGCAAACAAAGTTTATCTATATCTAATTGGTTAGTCTTTTCATATAAAAACTGAATAGGGCGAGGAGAGCAGTTGCTTCTCTTTCACTTCACTTCATCATTATATTGCGTTACACTCAGGTAACCAGCCCTCCTCACTCACACTCAATCTCACTCACAGTGACTTGACTCTGATGATAACAGCCTGGTTTTAGTTTTAGTGGTTTTAGTGGTAGATGTAGCAGTTTAAAATTAAATGCATTATATGCTTATGTACTATTAAATTCTATGGTTTTAGTTTTAGATAACATAAAACAGTGCATGTTATAGCTTACAGTCTTAAAGGACATGCATAGAGGACCTCAGTAATGAGTTTTGAAGTCTGGCAGTAAGTTACCAGTCAACATCTCTTAATGCACCTCCCATCGAAGCAGTCTAGAATCGGGCCTGTTTGCAGTAAAAGGTGTGAGACCAGAAGATAGGCTACAGATAAAAAAGTTCTGTGTTTAGATAGGGGGTGGCACAGCGGTGCAGTGGTTAGCACTGTCCTCACAGCAAGAAGGTTCTTGGTTTGAACCCATGGCCTGAGGCCTTTCTGTGTGGAGCTTGCATGTTCTCCCTGTGCCTGTGTGGGTTCCTCGGGCTTCCTCCAAGTCCAAAGATATGCACATTAGGTGAATTGGTGATTCTAAAGTTTTTTGAAGACAGAGTGGATACAGAGGGAACATATTGTAGAGAGGATAAAAGCATCATTTACCCACACTACAGAGCTTTGCTCTATTGTTTATAGGCTGAATTGTGTGTGCACAGCAGTTTCTGAAGTCCCTTATTCGCAAACCTATTGACTGGAAGACATGTTCATATAGGTACTCAAGCATAGTGTGACTGCCACATTTTTGAGGCTGTACTTTATTTATCACACTTGATTTCTTCTTGTCCTCACAGCAATCATGTTTTAGCTTAGGTTTTTGTAATTGCAACCATGTCAAGATCAACCAGTCAAACATGCACATGCGCAGAAACATGTGGCACGTGCATACTTTGTGAGAAGACAAACACACACACACGCATGCATGCACGCACACACACACACACACACACACACACACACACACACACACACACACACAAACACACACACACACACGAACACACATGCACCATTCACATTCTTATTTTAATTTGGGTGTGGAGCATGTAGTCAAAGTGCCCTGTGGGCTGACCATATCAGGTCGTGACATTTGCATTTGACAGAAATCACATCACACAGGGTTAATACTAGAGAGAATGGAGGGATGGAAAAAAAGAAAAAAAAATGTGGAAAAGGTTTCCCCCATTCCTCCCACATCCCCTTCCCTCACTCTTTCCCCCCTTCAATCCCATAGCTGAGGTGCTTAAATTAAAAAGGAAGAAATGCAATTTAAAGACATGGGGTAAACAATCACAAAACACTTGTTTCTGGAGGAGACACAATTTCCTGCTGCCTTGTCCAATTTCTTATGGCCTGGAGGGCTGCCGCATGCGTTTTAACACCTGGTTCTACACCGCTGATTAAAATTGTAATGCCTGTGTTGAATCAATCCATATGACATTTTGGAAATACACAAGTATCAGGACATTTTATATAGACAGCATTTTTTCTATTGTTTTCATTTGAAACAAAAAGGTGCAAGGTGGTGACTCGCACTGGGTGTCACTACTATGCCTTCCAACTGTTTGAGGAGAGAAAATAAAGTTTCAATATCCTAAACAAGTATAAATATGTCACTATCATTGTTTTACATAGTATTTAACAAAAAGCCACATGTACAGTGTACTGAATAACCTGAAATGGGACAGTTGTCAGTGTGTTTCTGTGGTTTTGTGGTGATCATCATTAATTGTAGCCTAAGATTTCATGCTTTCCCTCCCAAATAGTAGAACTCAGAAGAGAATTAGGTCCACTTCTAAGGTGTGTTACATGTTACATATAATTTGTTTAAAGGAGCTATTTGTAGGCTTTTCTATTTCTACACATCTAATGATAGCATTAACAGCTTTTTATTTACCAGTTTGGCTAAGAGCTTCAGCCATCATTGTATTTACAATTCATGAAACTATAACTATGATTCAGAGGTTCTCTGAACAGCTGTACTTTTTAAGGG